ATTGAAATACTCTCCTCCCATAAATTTTGTGTCTGAAAGGGAAACTCCAACAAATGCATAAGCAATAAGATCAGCTGCAAAAATAACCCTATTTATGCCTTTTTCAGCGCTAATTTTTCATTGCGTGTCTTTAGTAAATCCTGACAGTAGTTTTTCAAAGCCAAAAGAGTGTTTGCACTGGCGGAAGCTGTTAGTAAATCTGGCCATATACACATTTTACACTTTTATACATATATGCATTTTACAAATATATGAATTTTACACTTTCACACTAAATATATGCATTTTAAACTTGTACACTGAATTATCCATTTTACTCAAAATTCTGTCCTTTACAAATATATAAAATACATTATATGCCTTTTACACTTAAAAGGTTAGTTCACCCAAAAAGGAAAATTCTGTCATCATTTACTCACCCCTGTGTTGTTCCAAACCTGTATGGTAACCAGAAAGTTGGCGGCAGCCATTGAAAAAAAAAGAAGAAAAACAAATCTATGGAAGTCAAGGGCTACCGTCACCTGTCTGGTTGCCAACATTCTTCAAAATATCTTCTTTTGTGTTCAACAGACAAAAAAACTCATACAGGTTTGGAACAACTTGAGGGTGAATAAATGACGACAGAATTTTCACAAAAAACAAAAACAAAAAAAAGGGCGGTCACTGCTGTTCTCCATAGACAATGAGTTCAATCAAATTCGTTTAATGAGCGTATCCTGCCTGATGTTTACAATGTGCTTTCTATCAACAAGCTCAGAGGAATGTGATGTTTCACATTGTAATAATGTAATGTAACTGAAAGCCATGTTGCCAGCATCAGCAGGAGAAACTGAATCACTGTCAGAGGGCTTCTCATAACTCATGTAAAGAGAATCGGGGGATTGTGGGTAATGCATGAGCTGATTAACACACAGAGGGGGGAGACAACACTAGCTAACTCACTGAGTGCTCACTCCCTCTGGGAACAGGAATGCTGCACAATAGGCCTCCGACTGAGGCCGTGACACACAGACGATTGAAACAGTGTGAGAGAGCAGAAAATATGAGCACTATGATGGAGGGAGAAATAAAGGACCTGAGGGAGAGTAACAAAATGAAGCAAGGGAATGAGACGGTCGACAGACTGAGAGAATGAGGAGGTGGCACAGATCCTAGAAGAGAAGACTCTCTGCCAGCTGGAGTCTGGGAATGTTTCCATCACTCTCTACAGTAACAGTTTTAACAGAGAAGATCTCATATTTGAAGACCAGGCCAAATACATGAAAGAACAGCTTTAGCACTGGAAATCTTCCAGACCCGGACCAAAATAAAAATCCTGGATGAACCCAGGATGAATGCTCATGATAAGCAAGCACAGTAAGACTGAAGATCATATAACACTGATTAGATGTCGAGACCAAGAAACATAAATTACAAGAAAGTTGCAGGCCAGACTTGAACCAGTGTCATCTGAATAAACACGCATTAATACTCATTCAGTGCACTGTTCTGTTTCGTTTATCTGGAGGTTTGACCCTCAAACTGGGGGGTTTGATCAACATTTGACAGCAGAACGAGACAAAGTGAGGAGGTCACTGTTGCTCCTCTAATCCAGGACGTCCTGCTTGTCTAATACACCCAGCTGCTACAAGATGCCCTCAGTGTATTATGTTTGTGGAACAGCTAAAGTCAGCAACACTGAATTAGAGTGAGGAGACGCAAATCCTGGTTACAATATTACACATTCATTTCTATAGAGAAAATGAAGAGACATTTCTGAAATGTCTTAAAGCAATACTAAATAAATAAAACAATTAAATGCAATTATTATTAAATACACAGAATTGCATTTTTTTCAATTTAATAAAAGTTAAATGATGACTTGCTAAAATAAGACCTTAATTTAAAACTGAAGACTGCTTGTGTTGAATATAAATTAATAAAACAATGTATGTGTAATTGAATAATGAATTCATATTTTAACTTTTTAAATATATGTACCAAATTTTGTTAAAGTGATGAAAATCAAGTTTATATGTCTATGTGGTGTTTTTAATATGCTTTCAGACACACCATTTGAAAATTCATCAGTCAACACTATCATTATTTTTCCCCTTAAAACTGCAAGTTACCAAAGACAGTCTCAAAAAAGCGGTTTCCTACTGTTCCAAACATGTGACCAATCCAGTAAACGTGCAGGACGGGGCTTTTCTCCACAGACTTTCTATGATGTTCAAAGCGTTTCTAAGAATTCAGATATTCAGAAGGCATCTTCTGTCCAAGATGTCTGACTCTGAGATGGTGAACAGGAACATGGTTTGTGTAACATTAGCAACACATTATTAGCAGTTTGATAACATCAATTACTGTTATGTGTCCGACGTTGTAGAAAGCGATACATAAAACGCATTACCATTCTGATACATCCACTTGAATGGAGGCGGGGCAAATTAGCATATTCATGACTCCACGTATACTAATTTCCCCCACAGAAGCGAACAGAATTTGTTTTCCCCCTACAGGTGGGCAGGACCTGCTCTGTCGACTGTATGTATGGGGCAAGAAGAAGCGTGATGGAGAGAGAGTGTGTGTTTGTGATGTGAAGACTGAGGTGGGGTGAAGGGTGTGAGGACACTGCTGTCAGGCCGTTAAGGAAAACCCCAGACCAACAGCAAGATAACACAGTCTTGAGCTTCATGATAAACCCTTATGAAACACCATGCTTTTCTTTCCTCTTTGTTTGTAAACTATATATCTCCCTCCTTCACTGGGGCAACTAAGGGGCAAACCAGTGAGGACTCTCACATGAGCGATATTCAACTGAACAAACTCACACAGGCCATTCAAAGAGCTGCAAAGAAAGGTCAAGATCGTGACCATTTGGGCAAATATTTGATGTAAAAATAAGGAGGCTCGAAGAGAGCCAGTGTGAGAGAAAAAGCCTGACGGTTAAGAGGCTCTTGGTGTACCTGTGTGGAAGAACAGGAAGTGTGTGAACTTTCAGACAAACACTCTACACAGACACACACATCAAACGCATACCAAACTGGTCAATATTAAGATTTTGATATTTATGACACATACAGCCAAGCTAGTGTGGGGGAAAGTTACTTTTAAAAGTAATGCATTACAATATTGCATTACTCCCTAAAAAAGTAACTAATTGTGTTTTTATGAAAAAGTAAAAAAAAAAAAAAAGGTTTATGTTACTTTTGCATTCGTTTTCCTCACCTGGGCTGGGCTTGCTTGCTTGCTTGCTAAAAAAAAAAAAAAGTTCCACTTTTGGGAACTTCAGGGCACAACTCAAACTTTGAGCATGAAAAGAAATTTCAACACTCTTACAAAAAACAACAAGAAAAACAACACAGCATCACAAATGTGATGTTAATTGGATCATCGAAGGTCAGCAGCAAAGACATAATAAAGTGAGATTACATACATAAAGTATATTTGAGTTATGTATGTCAAGTTTGCATTTCACAGTTTTTATGAATTTTTAAGGAAATCTGAATCTGTTTTTGTGCAAATGAGATGAGTAAATGCCTGCTCATATTTAGTCTAGAACAACAATAACATCATGTTTCACACAGCGCACACAACGCCTCAGGGGAGCTGTCAGTCAATAAATGGAAGAAGAATGTAACTTGCGTTACTTATTTGAAAAAGTTACTCAGATATTTAGTTTAAAAGTAATGTGTTACTTTACTAGTTATTTGGAAAAAAGTAATCAGATTACATAACTCACGTTACTTGTAATGCCTTACACTGCAGCCCACAGCCGCATTTAAATGATGGAGTGAATCTGCTAAATAGTTTATCTGTGTATATTGAATCCAGCAGTTATTTTAGAAGCACTTTTGAAGACATTTTTGAGTCTTATTGGTATAAACAACATGCAAGGACGGCAACAGATTAAGCTGTTTGGTGCTATTTTGAAGGGGGAAAAAGGGAGACCACAGACATATTAATGTCTGGTCATTTTTAGTAACCCTCAGTCAACAGATGTGTCATGTAGAACAACCAATAAACAAACAGTGTCTACCAAACCAATGTTGTCATATATATTTTGCCTCTTATTTATGATATGTCCAACTGTGAATGATAGAAATCCACTATACTTTAGGTCAGTTCTCTCCATAGTGTGTCCTTATCTCCTGTGACTGGATGTTTTTACTCCACTGTCTATAAAGACTATCTGTGTGTCACACGGCGGAGCATTGGAGCACTGCCATGAAGGAGCCTTCCACTGAAAGTACTCAGGTTTAGCAGCTTGTATCTCTAAATAAGCAAAGAGTTAATGTGGAGAGTACAAACTGCAACATAAAATAAACAAAAATCTCAGTCTTTACATGCTTTCATCTCAAGTGTGTGCATGATCATCATCAGTAAAACTGCAGACAACTGATCCTGAAGTCATGAAATACTCAATAGCAGAACCCGCAACTAAATATCAAGCAAAAACGTTGAGTTATGTGCATAAAGATGTAGTAGTCCGATGAAAAACAAAAACATAAAATGGATCATTTTGGATATAAAATGAATATCTTCTAAATATCTTATTTCACAATGCTAAATAAAACTTTTCTTTTTGTTTAGCAATTTTACAAGGAAATGTCTTATCTAAGTCCGCCACCATGTGGTAAGAGAGAGAACTGCACATTTTAAAGAATGTTTGGGACTAATAAGAGAGTTCAGAAATCAAAGTGTAATTCCTGCAGCAAAGGAGGCATCAAAAAGAAAGCAAGACAAAAAAGACAAAAACAAAACAAGACAAAAAACTGTAAACAGAAAAAAACTAAACAAACAAAACAACAAACAAAAATATGCTGAATTGACTTCAAACAGGTTTCTCAAAAAAAAAAAAAAAAAAAAAAAAAATGGACATACCACAGCAATAAAATATGTCACAATTCATCAGTCTTAATGCTCCTAAAATAGACTGCATTACTAAGCAAAATATCTTTTCTCTTTTTTTTTTTTTACCTGTTCATGTTCAGTGAGATTCTCCCTAAAGGTCCTACCTGGATTGGCCTGCCATCCTCTGACCCGATCATGTTCCTCCACTCCAGCAGAGAGCGCTGCAGGTTGTCGAGGCCGGTTTCCCACACTCTAACGTAGCCTCCCATGTCGACAGTCACCACCCCACCAGAGCCCAGAGGAGCCATCACCACATCTGTGTCTGAGATCTTAGAGATCCACACAGTGTAAGGAGACATCGAGCTGCTCCTGAACACATCAGCATGACAGACACTGATCAGAACCACTGGAAGACTCGCCATTCACATATCACATTTAAAAAATATGCTTAATGCAATTTGCATTACACAATTCCCTATATTGTAGACTGCTTCTGGTTTCACTGGCCCTCATTTATCAAAAGTGCGTACACCAAATTTCCAGCGTACACCTGGCGTACACCCAAAACCACGGTGACTTTGAAATTTATCAATATGGACGTTGGCGTATGGCACGCTCAAATCCTACGCCAGCTCAGGAGGTGGTGTACATGTACGCACGTTTTGAGTTAGTGTGGAAATGCGCAGAAAAACAATTCCTAACACCATAAAATGCACTGACAAACTAAAAGATATGATATATTATGACCCACTGTAAAACAAAAAAACAAAAACATAGTAATTATTTACTTCAGTGTTTATTTTTGTGCAACATGGACTTCAATGTTTAATTTGTGTGACTTTACCAAAGCATTTGATTTATAAGCATATGTATTCCTTCAGTTGCGAGCCTGTGCGCTTTACCCTGACGTTTCATGGTTAGGCCTATCCCCGGCAGGTGCGCACGGACTGGGTTCGGTAACGAAAGGCTTTCAATGACCAACAAATAATTCAGACTGACAAAATAATAAAAAATACATTCTTCTTCTTTTAAATAATAATAATAATACAAATAATAATAATGACATTCTTCTTCTAAATAACAATAAGCGTCATTAATAATACAAATCATACTAATAATAAGAAGCATATTACAAATTGTCATGCAATTATTAATGTGAATGAATGGTAGGCCTACTCCACATCACATCATCATCATCCCATACACCCCAATACATGTAACGTGATTCGAAATTGAATGCTAATTCAGAAGACGTGCTGTAAAATATTGCATTGTGATAGGTCATTTCGGCTCCACGTCAGAGAAGTTTCTCTTCTTTGCCGTCTTCCGTGTGTCCATGGCGTAAAATAAGGGCGTGGGGGAAGCGGAGACTTGGGCGTGTTATTCTGATGACGATCGTTTTCAGCCGTGGGATTTATCAAGGGCAGGTATTGCGTACACCTGGATTTCAAAGGTACGCACAGCTTCATAAATCAGGCGGTGAGAGGAGTGTAAGCATAATCTTACGCCAACATATACGCCCGTTTCTATGCAAGAATGATAAATGAGGGCCACTGTGAGGAAATAATTTATGCAAAAATATTCAATACTACTTAAAACAATAATATAATAACATAAATGACGTTAATACCATTACATCATTTAACATTTACATTTGGGAAAGGTTTTGATTTAACCCTCTGGGGTCCTTCGGCCCAAATGGACCCGAAGCATTTAAATATTTTTTTTTTTTAAATCATTGCTTTATCGGAATGGTCCGAAATTTGGTGACTTTGTTGGTACTTGGTATATGAACACCCCAAAAAATTGGGGACAGGATTTGAATAGTCTAAGTGGTTGTAAAAAAAATAGTCACACTCAGGACCTTCGGGTCCAAATGGACCCGCCATAGGAAATGAATGGGAAATTGGCAAAAATGTGAAAATACAGAGTTATTTTGTGCGTACAATCAACAAATCAGCCACGATCCAGAAAAAAAGCACACAACAGTGAAGGGGTGAATCTATAAAACATCAAGAGTGCAAAACAGACACATCCACACACACACACACACACACACACACACACACACAAACACACTTTTATACACATACACACTAATAAATTCAGATTACATATGGGTTTTGAATTTTTAAAATGCTCAGTTTGTCCACCAGATGGCATCCATCTCATTTCAAAAATTGCTTTCATGAGGCCTAGGCTTGACTCTAAAATGAAATACAGCTTTAAAAAATAAATAAATAAATACAAATATTTTTTTTAAATTTCTATTATATTCAATGGGGAAAAAATGGGTCATAATTATTGCATTAATATTAATTATAAATCATTTTTATTTTTGAAATTATCTCAAAACACCAAAAAAGAAAAGAAAAAATATTATAAAAAACAAGTAAAAAAAAAAAAGATGATTTTTTTTAAATAAATATTAATCCCACCCTTCCGGCCCATTTGGACCCGAAGGTCCTGAGTGTGACTCTGAAATGAAGGACCCCAGAGGGTTAAAGAAATTCTTAAAGGGATAGTTCACTTTGAAATTAATTTTTGGTATGTTTTAGCTTACCTCAAGGAGGCATCCAAGATGTAGGTGTCTTTGTTTCCGCAGTAGTTTCAATTTTGATATTTTTAGGTCAAACCGTTCTTGTCTGTCAGTGATATAATGCAGGTCTATGGTCACTTCCTCAAAGAGCATGCACAGAGAAGTCCAAATTAAACATGATTTAATGACTCGTAAATGTAAGTACACATTGATGGGCCTGGCCTAAGACACGAAACGAGCAGTTTGTGTGAGAAAATGAACAGTATTTATATCGTTTTTACCTCTTGTAAACACAGCCAGGTCCAAGTGATCTGAGGGCGCCGGCGCTTCGTCTTTTCCAGAAAGCGCTGGAAGTGATATCTCGCGCGTGTACGTCACTCATACAATTGTTTTATTTTATTTTATTTTTTTATTTTACGACGGTTTAAACATCCCGGATAAGCGCAAATTAGTACCATTTTAATTAGCCGTCTTACCTACAATCTCTGTTCTGTGTAAACAATGAGTGACGTAGACGCGCGAGAGATCACTTCCGGCGCTCTCCGGAAAAAACCGAAGCGCTCGCGCCCTCAGATCACTTGGACGTGGCTGTGTTTACAAGAGGTAAAAACGATATAAATACTGTTCGTTTTCTCACACAAACCGCTCGTTTCGTGTCTTAGGCCATCAATGTGTACTTACATTTACGAGTCATTAAATCATGTTTAAATTGGACTTCTCTGTGCATGCTCTTTGAGGTGGTGACCATAGACCTGCATTATATCACTGACAGACAAGAACGGTTTGACCTAAAAATATCAAAATTGAAACTACTGCGGAAACAAAGACACCTACATCTTGGATGCCCTTGAGGTAAGCTAAAACATACCACAAATTAATTTCAAAGTGAACTATCCCTTTAATTTATACTTAATAATATGCATTGCAAATACAAACTCGGTCACTTGAATGTGCCCAGTGTCTAATCAGCTGAACAGAAGAGGGAGCTACAGTTTCATGAAAGGAGTCTTACTCCGTACCTTGGGACTGGAATGTATTTGAGCTTCTTAGAGTTCAGGTCTGTCACTTCCAGGTAAGCAGCCGCCATGGGTGGTGTGACATCTGTTGGTGAATCCATACCATCAGTATCATCATTAATGACAATTGCATTTCTATTTTCATATGATAAGTGCATTTGTCAATGCTTTACCTTTAGGGTAGACCTCAGTCAGTGGGACTTGTGTAGGAGGCAGCGCTCGAACCACTTGATTGGCATCTAACAGACAGACACAGTTCATCCTCTTTGCGGGCCCTGTTCGCTTATTTGACCCGAAAAACATATCAGGCCCTCGACCCTCTGTTATGGGCGAAGATCTCTTAAAGCTGTACACCTCGTTTGGGGACTGTGGAAACACAATGCAAAACAGGCTATATAGGAGTCAATGCCACATACGACTATCCATGATAATGAAAAGTAAAAATCATAACATTAACCTGTTGACAAAAAAAAACAAAAAACAATTGTGTAACCATCAATTTAAAAAATAAATTATATAAATATATATTAAATGATCGATTAAATGATCAAAATATGAGGAAAATATAATATATATTTTATTTTCATATTTTAAATACGAAGGAAAAACAAAACACAAACTTTGTTTTAGGTATTTATCTGACAAAAAAGGCAAACTACCGTCACTTTTGGCCACTGTGTTATTATTATAATTATTATTATTATAAGAGAATCATCAATATTATATATGAATATCACTGTCAGAAAAATAACATATGCAATTAAATATTAGGTGACTTACAACATAATAATAATGTCAATTATTTTAATACCATTACATTTAAGACATCTGGTTCAATTTTAAGGCTCAATTAAAAATGAAAGATTCTACATTAATATGCATTGCCAAAAAATGTGCAAAATGATCACAAGTCACAAACTAATTAATAAGGTTTTCTTTTCAAGAAAAAAATATATTTTTATAAAATATATTTATATCCCATCCCCCCAAAAATATAAAAATATGTTTTAATTCAAAAATTGAAAACCTGTCCATTATAAAAGAAGATATTCATGTTAATGTATGTAACTCATTTTGAATAAATAAAAAAATGGATTGATTGATCTATAGAATCCAGATGTGTATTTTACTACAGGGTATGCCACAATTGTCACCCACCATGAGATCTGGGAATCCCACAATAACATTAGCATAGGTGTTTGTGTCACAGAGGATGCGGTTGGGAGAGGCGATCTTCTGCCCCAGGGCAGTGCTGAGGTTCTCATTGGGCAGCTGCTCATTCGACACCTCCTGAGGAGCTGTGCTTTCCATCCCTGAAGCACAAAGACAGTCAGATCATCACTCTAAAATAACTTCCCATAGAGATGATAACGTGTCCTCGCCACTAAACCCATAAAAGGGTTCAGAGCATTTCTACCATGACTCTACATTTGTCACATCTTTATACCCCAGTTTAATTGGTCATTATTCAGACCTTCTAGAGACATTCTGTCACTCTCGATTTGATTAAGACGCCAATCCTGCTGATGGGAACGGTTGATGTCATCAAAAACATGCTCATTTTTCAGAGCAAACGCTGAAGCATGTCTGATACTTTAGATGTCCGATGCCCACTAAGCACAGGCATTACTCTATCTTTATGACAGAGGCATTCATCTCAATAACTCATACTATGAGTTATTAAGCGTCTTTCTGCTCTTCACGCTCCAGAAAATGACACGTCGCTGAAGGAGGAATGACTAGGGGTAGTTCATCAGAAGATAGAGCTGTTTTCATGCCTTATAAAACAAAGGGGCAACGATTAATTTCACCAGCTATTTTAGGCCTTCAAAAACAAACTGGCATTACTTTCTATCAAATGAGGCGTGCAGGACTCACTGGCGACCCCGAGAGCTTCAGCTCTCCTCGAAATGCAGTAGGATACGTGACTCTGCTTTCAAATTAGCCAAGCCAGGAATACTAAATATAGTAGGGGTGTAACGATACCCTCATGTCACGATTCGATACATAACACGATACTGAACTCAAGATACGGTATTACTGTGATACTCCAAGACACCAGAATAAAAATATTCATGATTCTGAAGCTGAAAATACAGAATTATTTTAGACGAATATGTTTGCACTCTGTCGCTCACAAGATATATTTAAAATTTCAAAGTTTCAAACTCCTGAAACAAACTTTTGTTTTAGCCTGATTTTGTTCGAAATGACATCACACCAATTCGTTCTTTAATTTAGCTTGAAGTACATCGGGGCTAATTAATTAACATTAGCATTAACAAATAACACTGATTAATACAACTAAGTCAAAATGTGCCCACTTGGAGTAAAAATGTAGAGTGCAATGAGCATAAATGAGTAAATAGATCTTCTGTGTGAGAACGCATTTAGGATGCAAGCCATTAAATATGACACCGAGTTTGTTCATGTGCTGAAGTGTCGAATCTGACAAGTCAGATTCAAAAATCCCTGAGGCTTCATGTCAATCACAGCATATGTGAAACAGACGCATTTGCCAAAGCGAGACAGATGGTGACTGACAAGTGTTAAGGGCTCTCAGCGGCCCTGATTGGACGCAACATCGCAGAGTCACTTCTGATTGGGCGTTCTGGCTAATAAGAGTTGTTCACCTGAGCTGGTGCCAAAGCCAGTGTTAACAGCGTCTTCACTGATGGCGTGCAGCTGGCACACTCCCGTGTCCTCTGCGCCCATGTGCATGGGCTTTGTCAACAGGAACTTCCTGCACATGATGGGAGCACATTTAGTTGAAAGTTTAGTTGAAGAAAATGCACTTATATAACCTCTAAAAGGAGAACACCCTTTTCAAAGTCTGAGCAACTAAAATATGAGGGAATCTTTGTGCTTTCATTGAAGTGCAGAATGAATTTCATTGCCACCTGTCAGTCTTGCTCTCAACAAGAAGCCAGCGGTCTTCAGCCACCAGGAACACAGCCTTGAGATTGATGGGGAGGGAGATGGTGTGAACCTGACCTTCCAGCACATCAACAACATCCAGCTGATTCCTGTCCAAGTAGAGCAGAGTGTAAATCAGTAGACCATGCCTGAACAGGACACCAGAGCTCTGTTTCAAAACCTAGAGAGCTGCTCGCAGTCTACAGCCTACGCTGTAAAAATGATCATAATTGTAACGGTAAAATACTGTAAAAATACAATGGTATAAAAACCCCTTTTAATTGGTTAAACGGTAAGTTTGTTGTCTATATATGGTGAAAAACTAACACTAAAAATTATTTAAAAATTCTAATGGGGCATTTCATGTAATTTTAAAGTAAAATACTGTTAAATATTTTATTTATTTTTATATATATATATTACATTGGAATTCCGTGTCACTTCACTTTTGATGTTTTTAATTGATTTAAATAACATCTTCTTTCTTATCCGTTATGTACATTAGGGTCTTATGAAGTTTAATATTTTAGTGTCCTATTTACCATGATGGTGTTTTGTATTTGTGTGAATGACACTGTCTGACACTTTTATATATTAGCATGTACCTCAGCTTATAGAAACAACTATGTGTTATGAGCTTTGATTATACATATGACTCTATCTTTACCACCTATGTTTTTGGTGGTTTTTAATGTATTATAAAGCTACAAAACAGATTTTAGAACTTTAGTAGGTTGGTATATTAACATATCAGTTAATGTAAAGACCCATGGCATAGGCGACATAGGCGGTTGCCTAGGGCGCAAAATGACGGGGACGCTGCACGAGAGGCAGGCCCTGTTCTACAGGGGTGCTAAGCACTCTCAAACTAAAACAAGAGCACCGCCTCAGTTGAAACTGTAATAATATCAAATTGGCGAAACTGATTTGGCATATACTCCAGTGCGTATTTCTGTTTGCGCTGCGGAGAGTGTCAAAGGGGAAATAGCTTTAATGACTGAATTAAATTCTTTAAAATGCACAGGAAAACTATGGATTCGCATAAATTGTTTGTATGTTAAAATATTTCCATAATTATCAAACATATTCATAAGATGATTAATATCCCTGTTAAACCAATTCCTTAAAAATAAGGATTTATTGGTCAACCAACAGTTTAATAACACTTTGGTCTTTAAGTTTAAACTTTGACATCCATGCTCTTGTTTTCCTCATAGTAATGACAGTGTGCAAACCGGAAATTGTAATGCGTGCGCACGAGAAACATGTTGCCTGCGCACGAGAAACTATCACGTGCGCACGAGAAACTATCGCGTGCGCACAAGAAACTATCGCGTGCGCACGCAATATGTTTCGGGTGCGCACGTGATAGTCTTTATTTTTTATTTTTTTGCAAAGGTCCCTTTAGGGGCTCCGTACATCTTTGACATATTTATGCTGAAGTGCATTCTGGGATTGATTTCTCCACACCAGAAATATGCGGTGCTGTCTTACAATTTGGCCAAAAATGTTCAGAAGGGTGAACAATCATACTGCTCTAATAAATGAGCTGTTTAGCTTTGTAAAATGCTGCCTACATAGACAGCTCACTAGGTTTCAGAATAAAATGTAAGCTTGTCACACATAAGATTGAGGGAGAATAGCCTACCCATTTTCTTTGTAGAAGAGAAGCCAGTTCTTGTGGGCAAACTCCTTGCACATTTTGTATCCTGGCTAATGAAAACAATACAAAAGTTGAAAATAATTAAGATAATGTTAGGGCTAATTTTTCACTACCGGATGTGACACTACATTAGATGTAACACTAATAAAAGGTCCCCTCTGGAGAACCACTGCTATAGACATAGATTTCCACCTGACTCTCTTTGTTGCTCCACCAGTTTGAAGTCTTGCGTTGTGGTTCCTCCTGCTTGTCCTGAGACAGGACCAGTCTCCTCACAGCACCAGTAACCAGGTCCACATGCAGAACTGTGTTGCCCTACAAAAAGGAGACAAGAATGTTCGCAAATTGTAGTTCATTTTAAAAAACGAGGTCATATCATTTTATTTTATTCCCTAAGGTACACTGATAATGGTAGGTTAATGTCAAGGTTTTATGCACCAAAACAGATACAATTTAGTTTTACGCAACCATTTTCCAGCCTCTATTCGACCCTGGCCTTTTTACAGCTGTCCCTTTAAGAAATGTAAATGTCTTTTCAATAATATTCAACAATAATATTGATATGCCTGTATTGACACCATTATATGAGAACTGAACTGAGCTGGACGATGACATCAGGGGCTGTATAGATAAATGAACTAAATTAATAACTTTTTCACAACAAAAATGAACCATCACTGAACTTACATAAGCTGGACTATGACACTATTTTCCTGTACAGCCGAACCTATTTTTTTTTTTGCATTATTTTCCTGTTATCACTGTAAAGCTGCATTGAAACAATCTGTATAGTAAAAAAAGCGTAATAAATAAAGGTGACTTGACTTTTCACATACAACATGAACAAGGCCAGAAATGTACTTTATGTAAGTATTGTGCCAGCCTCCTGTTACAATGCTTCTTATCTTCAGTTTTCACCTTCATAGGAAAGATTGGAGGCCATCAATTCCTCCTCACCACTGAATCTGCAGCATAATGGCTTCCTTACGCCCTGGCTTTCATATACCGCATGCTGTCTGTGATATTAATAGCCTTGCATCACTTCTGGACAGATGGTGGGTTTGGCTGAGACGGGCCGTTATGGTCACGGGCCGCACCGTTCCATTCAGCCTTCGTGTTTTCTCCACCAGGAGAGCAATGACCCCTGGATGGCCTCCTGTGATGTCTGGACATCTGTATTTTTAGATTTTTATACACAAGTAATCATGTTCTCCACACCCCTTTTTTTCCACAGCTAACAGGTTTCCACCAGACTCGACTCTAATACAAACCAGCTGCACTCTGAATCTAAATTCCAATTTGATCTCTTTCTGTTTTTTTTTTGGTTTGGTACCTTAACATGTAAGTGAAGTAATGAGAAGGGTTATTGAATACATCAAGATACACTACATGACCAAAACTGTGATCTCAGAAAACACTACAGCCACATGTGCTTGTTAAACATTTAACTTTAAAACCATAGGCATTAATAGGGACTTACAACAGTTTCCACTCTTCTGGAAAGTCTTTATAGAAGACTGAATGGATGTTTAATCTGTTAATAATAGAGTGCTGCAGTGATGACGTAGTTTTTGCAGGCCATAACGGAAGTCAGCATCACCCTGGTTCCCTCAACAGAAAAACCAACAGGATTCTTCCATTGACTTTTGGATTATTGCAGAAAATAAAGCTCTTTGGCCAATAAATGTTTACGCTTCTTCAATTTTTATTAATTCTGAAGCCTAAATGCAATCGCCAGAAGTAAAAAGCTAAAGGTAGGCTATAAATGAACTACACCACAATCACATGACTTTAACTTCACCACCACTATACTCTTTGAGTATAAACACAATGAGGCTATAAAAGCAGACTGGTGAGTAGATGAGTTTACCTGTTTAGCCTGAAGAAGTTTCCAACCAATGTCTCTGGTTGTTAGTAATCGCCTTTTTCAAGACATGTTAAAAAAAGAGCTTGTGTAAATCATAGACCTTATTTTAGGCATTTAACACAAAACCCATTAAAAAAAACCTTGACTTCAGGACAATGGAACTAGAAGTAAAAAATGTCAACTTGTTTCTGGGTTTTAGGACTCATTCCTGCAGAACTGTGCGAGTAGTTAAAATAGTCAAACTTGAGAATTAAAAGGGGGTGTCCACATACTTTTGGACAAATTGGTTTGAACAGATAACGACTCGGTTACTAACGTAACCTCGGTTCCCTGAGAGGAGGGAACGAGTATTGCGTAAGCTTACGCTATGGGAAAACTCCTTTTCTCGAGAAATATTGAAGTCTTTATGTAAAACGCATTGCAGCTGCACAGCATACAGCAATGAGCGAGGCAGCTCGGTCATTGGCTGTGCTGCGGCAACTTGCACGAACCAATGACGGGGCGACTCTGAACCCGCTTCCAATGAGCGTGCTTCGCGCCCACGCGCGTCAGAGCCCGCCGAGATGGGCGTGGCCAAGGGCTATATATTGGGCGCCCCGTCGTCTGAGTTCTTTAGGTTCAATTCGACTGAAGCAAACTGACCAAGCACAAGCACGGCAGATTACGCAATACTCGTTCCCTCCTCTCAGGGAACCGAGGTTACGTTAGTAACCGAGTCGTTCCCTTTCGAGAGGTTCCTCCTATTGCGTAAGCTTACGCTATGGGAACGCCATGTAAAACGCCGTGCGTGCTGACTTCGCTTCTATTAAGCCGGAGGCCGGAGCCTGAGCCTTTGAGCAAAGTAATTATCCAACGAGCCAGCCGAAGGCGGGTTTTATAAAGGACAACGTGGAACGGCCCGATGGGCGTCCAGAGACACACACAAGCACATTTTCATGTACTGTCATGTATGAAAAATCCTCCACATCAGTTTCAAGATGTGATTCTATGAGGGAGGAGACAATGCTCAGCATGTACACACCCCAGCCTATGATGGTTAGACCGACAGTATGTTAGAATGCAATGAGGGGACCTGTAGGTTATAAAACCTGATAAATGTGGACGGTGAGGCCCAGCCTGCAGCCGCACAAATATCTTGAATGGGTATCCCACTCGACCACGCCCACGAGGAGGCCATGCCTCTCGTAGAGTGAGCTCTGATGCCCAAGGGGCACTGAAGGCCCTTGGCTTCATAAGCCAGCGCTATAGCATCAACTATCCAGCGCGATATTCTTTGCTTTGACACAGCCAGACCTTTAGTGCGGCCGCCAAAGCATACGAACAACTGCTCTGTCTGTCTGAACAGGGCAGAGCGTTCCAAATATACTCTGAGTGCCCTGACCGGGCAGAGTAAATTAGCGTCACTTTCGTCTGCTGGGGACGATAGCGCGGCCAAAGATATCACCTGTGCTCTGAAAGGAGTAGAGAGCACCTTAGGAATATACCCGTGTTTTGGCCTGAGGACAACCCTGCTGTCGTTAGGTCCAAACTCCAGGCAGTTAGCGCTTGAAGACAGCGCGTGCAGATCGCCCACTCTCTTGACCGAGGCGAGAGCCAGCAAGAGAGCAGTTTTGAGCGAGAGCTGTTTAAGGTGCACAGTTCGGAGGGGTTCGAACGGGGCACGCTTAAGTGCGTCCAGGACCGTGGCCAGGTCCCAAATCGGCACCGAGGGGGGGCGTGGGGGATTCATCCTCCTGGCGCCCCTCAGGAAACGAACAACTAGGTAGTTTTTCCCTAGTGTGCGTCCTTCGACCGGTTCATGTGATGCCGCTATGGCAGCCACATATACTTTGAGCGTGGAGGGGGTGCGGCCTGCTTCCAACAGCCCTTGTAAGAAATCGAGCACACTCGGTACTTCGCATGTCTCAGGGTTCAGGTTCCTGGGTTTACACCAGTCACTGAACACCTTCCATTTCTGGGCATATAAGCGCCTCGTAGAGGGCGCTCGCGCCTCAGTGATGGTTCTCAACACTCCACTGGGGAGGTTCCCGGGAATCCGTTGAGGGGCCACGCATGGAGGGCCCACAGATCGGGGCGGGGATGGAGGATCATCCCGTTGGCCTGCCTGAGGAGATCTAGCCTCAGTGGAATCGGCCATGGGGCAGATTGCATCATCTGCATCAGTTCTGGAAACCACGTCTGGTTCTTCCAGAGTGGGGCTACCAGGAGCACTGCACATTTCTCCTCCCTGATCCGACTGATGACCTGAGGTAGCATCGCGACCGGAGGGAAGGCATACAGCGGGCGGCTCGGCCAGACTTGGGCGAGCGCGTCTGTGCTCTTTGAAAAGAAGAGAGGGCAGTGCGCATTTTCCTTGGAGGCAAAGAGGTCGACCTCTGCTCTGCCAAAGGTTTGCCATAACCACTGAATCGTCAGGGGGTGGAGAGACCATTCTCCTGGGAGAACTTTGTCTCTGGACAGCATGTCCGCTCCCTGGTTCAGAACGCCTGGCACATGCGCTGCTCTCAGTGAGCGCAGGTTGCGCTGGGACCATAGGAGGAGCTCCCTGGCCATCGAGTGCAGGGAGCTCGATCTGAGTCCACCCTGACGATTTATATGCGAGACTACCGTCATGTTGTCCGTTCGGACTAGAACGTGCTCGTCCTTCAGGTACGGGAGCAGGGCTCTGAGAGCCAAAGCGACCGCTTTCAATTCCAGACAGTTTATATGTAGGCGCTTCTCCGGGTTTGACCACAAGCCGGAGACAGGCCTGCCCTCGTAAAGGGCCCCCCAGCCTATTTTGGAGGCATCTGTCGTGATCATTTTTCTCCTTGTGTTCATGCCCAAACTCACACCGGACTGATACCAGTCGACAGCTTTCCAGGGCGTCAGGGCTTTTATGCAGCCGTGATTTGCTCTGATTAAAAAGTGGCCCGAGCGCCACGCGTGAGTGGGGACACGGCTTTTGAGCCAGCGTTGGAGAGGACGCATGTGCAACAATCCTAGCTGGAGTACAGCTGATGCTGAGGCCATGAGACCGAGCATCCTCTGAAATCGCTTGACGGGGGCGCGCGCACCCGCTCTGAACGATGTTGCAAGGCGCCGGATAGTGAGCGCGCGCTCTGATGAGAGGCGCGCCGTCATCTGCACTGAGTCTAGCACTATTCCCAGAAAAGAAATATTCTGGCTGGGGGATAGCATGCTCTTTGCAAAATTGATTTTTAGACCCAGGCACTCTAGATGACTGATAATCCAAGACCTGTGTGTCACTAACTGGCTCTCTGATTGTGCTAGGATTAGCCAATCGTCGAGATAATTCAGTATTCGCACTCCCCGCTGTCTCAGGGGGGAAAGTGCTGCATCCATACATTTCGTAAATGTACGGGGTGCCAGTGACAGGCCGAATGGTAGTACTGTGTACTGGTATGACTGTCCCTCGAAAGCGAATCTCAGAAATGACCTGTGATGAGGCGCTATTGGAATGTGAAAGTAAGCGTCTTTCAGATCCACTGACAGAAACCAATCCCCCGGGCGAACTTGCGCGAGGATATGCTTGGTTGTTAACATTCTGAACGAGCGAATCATTAAAGCTTTGTTCAGATGTCTGAGATCTAGGATGGGGCGGAGACCGCCATCCTTTTTCGGGACGAGAAAATAGCGGCTGTAAAAACCTGCCTCGCTCATAGAGGGGGGCACTGTTTCTATAGCGCCTTTCTCTATCAGTTTGAGCATCTCGGTGCGTAGAACATGTGAAACATCTTTTCTCACTTTCGTCTCTACCACTGCTGTGAAGCGGGGCGGTCTGCGAGCGAATTGGAGCGAGTAACCGTGTTTTATTATGTTCAAAACCCATTTCGGCATGTCGGGGATATTTTCCCAAGCTTTCGCTCGCACAGATATGGGCTGAATGCTGGCCGGGGGCGTGTCGCAGTGACGTATGGCTCCCGCCAGCGAATCGTTTTGTGTAAATACCGAGCTCACAGCTGTCAGCGGCGCGGGCGCGCGCTGAGCAGCTTTGTTGAATGCCGAGTGCAGGGGTGCGTGTGAGATTACAGGCACGCTCGCTGTAACGCTCACAGAGTGAGATGGGGAAATGTTTAACACTGTGTGTATAGTGCTTATGGGTGGGGGTGCATAGACTGTGGTAGGAACGCGCGCCACTTTCATAAAACTTCCCGCTCGTGGCGGGAGGTTTTTGGCCATATAAACAGTGTTTGTGAGATGGGGTGCGTGCATAACAGCGGGCACACGCGCTACTCTTATACAACTTCCCGCTTTTACTGGGGAAGTGTTTATAACTGTGGGAACAGTGCTTGTGTGTAGTGGTGCATACGTAACAGTTGGCACACAATCTACATTTATGGGGCGTCCAGCCTGAGCTGGGAAAACATTTGGCACTGAGTTTACAGTTTTGATATGTGGGAATGCGCACTTTGGTGTGGACACGGGACCCTTTAATGACACAGGCAGAAAATAGCTCTTTATGTGATTTCTGTGTGTCGCCGTAAAAACGGCGTTTGTTTGCAGGTGGGCGAGCTGTGTGGCTGGCACATTGGCTGCTGTATAGACATTTCCAGCCGCCTGTGAGGGGACTGGGTAATGCTTTAAACGTTTTGGAGAGAACGGTCCGGCTCTTGCGAGACACGCGCTCTCCCTTTTCCTCCCTGTAGCTAGGAGGACTTACGAGGCTCTGGGTTCAGCACAATCCTGGGCCGAGGTCCCCGTCGCTCGGGCGGCTGTTTCCTGTTGGCGGAGCGCGAGCGGCGTCGAAAATCCGTTTCAGGTTTGGGCTGAGAAACGGGGGGCGCCGTCTTAGCTCGCTGCTGCTGAGGCGGCCGTTGGCGGCTCTGCGATGAGCTAGATCGCTTGGGCAGGAAGTGACGCATAGCCTGTGAGTCCTTACGGGCTTCGGTGAAGCGCTCGGCGAACTCCTTCACCGCTGGTCCAAACAGGCCGCTTTGGGAGATAGGCGCGTCGAGAAATGACGCCTTATCTGCATCCTTCATTTCTGTTAGCGTCAGCCACAGATGGCGCTCAAGGACAGTCAGGTTAGCCATAGCACGGCCGATGGATTGGGCGGTGGCTTTTGTAGCTCGCAGCGCTATGTCAGTGGCGCTGCGCAGGTCCTGAAATGCCTCAGGATCGGGTCCAGACTCGTCCATACTGCGGAGAAGTTTGGCTTGAAATACCTGGAGGACAGCCATAGAGTGAAGCGCTGATGCAGCTTGGCCGGCGGCGGCGTATGCGCGACCGGCGAGAGCTGAAGTAGATCGGCAAGGCTTCGAGGGATGAGAAGCTTTAGCTTTCCATCCAGCGTTGGAGGGTGGACACAGATGATTGGCCACAGCTTCCTCGAGGGGCGGAGTCCCCTCATAGCCTCTTTCTTTTGCGCCGTCCACAGAGGAGAGCGACAAAGAAAAAGAAGGCTTCAGGCGAGCGGAGTGCGGGGCTTTCCACGACTTCGTGAGTTCGTCGTGAACTTCCGGGAAGAAGGGGGAGGGTCTTTGTCGAGGGGCCTGTCGGCGCCCCTGCAGGAACCACTCGTCCAGTCGGCTGCGGGTGGGTTCTTCCGGGGAAGACCAATCGAGCCCGAGGTCTTCCACGGCCTTAGAGAGAATGCGGACGATCTCAGAGTCCATGCTGGAGCCCGCGCTCGTGCCCGCTAATGTCGATGGCGCGGGGTCGAAGGACGAGCCCGGCCAATCGTCGGATGCAGCATCACAGGAAAGACTGTCATCCTTATCATCGTCATCCCCTGACGCGCCAAACGAGACGAGCCCCATCGCTCCGCTGGAGGGGTGCTGGTCCGCCTGTGTGAACTGGACTGGCGGCGGGGAGTCTTCGGGTGGTGGTGAAGCACGCGGGGATTGGCCCGGCATGACATCACTGCAAACCGCGTGCTCCGGCGGCCTCTGTGAGCGGCGTTTTTTCTTTCGCGGCTCGACTAGAGGAGATGGCAGCACGGAAGAGGTGGGCTCTTTCGCGGTGAAAACGGCGAAGCGAGCGCGCAGCTCGGTGAGGCCCAGGGCGTCACACTCGGGACATCCGCCTCGAGTAAGGGCAGCCTCTGCGTGGTCCGGTCCCAAGCAGCGGGCGCAGATGATGTGACGATCCCCGTCCTGAAGAGGGCCTCGACACGAGGCGCAGGAAGGCATTTGAAACAACGCCTTGAGAAATTTGACTCTTTTAGAAAAAGTGTCGCGGGGGCGAACACTGATAGCTTTGAAAAAGGATATAGATGGTGCGCGCCGGATGGCTTAGCAGAAGGGCGATCGAAGGCGGCTGAAGGCGCCGGCGTCCTCGAAGCAGTCCTGCTGTAGGCTTGTCGACGGCGGCGGCGAAAATACTCCAACAAATCCGGAGGATCCAGCGAAGAGAAGGTTCTTTGCTGAAGGAGATTAAATCTAAAGAACTCAGACGACGGGGCGCCCAATATATAGCCCTTGGCCACGCCCATCTCGGCGGGCTCTGACGCGCGTGGGCGCGAAGCACGCTCATTGGAAGCGGGTTCAGAGTCGCCCCGTCATTGGTTCGTGCAAGTTGCCGCAGCACAGCCAATGACCGAGCTGCCTCGCTCATTGCTGTATGCTGTGCAGCTGCAATGCGTTTTACATAAAGACTTCAATATTTCTCGAGAAAAGGAGTTTTCCCATAGCGTAAGCTTACGCAATAGGAGGAACCTCTCGAAAGGGAACTATGGTGGTACATGGAGTTTATCCATGTCAGGGTTCTGTCACTTTGCTCTGGTTTATAGAGGGTATGCGCATGACGTCACAGTCGGCAGGAGTGAATGCGGTCACGCCCACAAGTGGCAAAAAGACTGAGCGGCAACATTTGTTTTCAGAGTGAATGCCGTGAAAAACACACAAAACACATCTAAAACGGGAAAGAGCTTTGCGATTGACTGTACAACTAGATTTGACCAGAAATCTGAGGTACTGTATATTTTTACAGACTGCAAAAAGCTACAGAACAGACTATATTCTGCATAATTGGATGTTTTTAAATAAACACTGACAAAAAACTATACAAGTTTTAGGGCTGGACGATATGATGATATACAGTATAACATTAATGTAAGTGATCACTCAGATTTAGACCTATCTATATTGTATTTATATAAAACGTTTACAGGCAAATTATCTTCATGTTTTTTCCCCAGCGTCGAAATCAGGCACATATAAATGTCAGGAAACACGATTCCTGGCTGCATGTCAATATCCATGGATCACTGGATCTTTGATAAGTTGTAAGGAACACTATATCGAGTCCAACTTTTAGTTTAAACTGATAATAGTTTGTTTCACTCGCGTTTTCGCAGTTTCCCCTATTAACTCCAGTCACGCAGCAGCTCTTTTGCCACTCAGTCCGGCTGAGGGGGGCGTGTTCCTGCGGGAAAGTGACGTTAATGCATTCCCTCTATTCTTAGTTTGGTGACAATTCTACTGTCTTGTTAGGAGTTACTGTCTTACTGTCTCCAAGTTTGCTCTTTCGTTCGCGGGGTACGCTGTATGTGCAGAGCATGGTGTTCGGCTCAAAGGTGCTTGGCTAAAGGTATAAAGTTCTTGAGCATCACGAAAGCACATTTGATCTTCTGTTTACCGTGTCTTTATGAACTTTCTGATGCATCAAAGTTTCTCTCAGGTTCTATTAAATGAACTAAAGTCTTTTATTATTATTTTTTGGCTGAACTGTCCCTTTAAGTTTGTTTTGGGTAAAGTAAACTATGATTAACATTATAAGTGGATTTATAGAAAGAAAATATCTTACAAAAACAGTAGTTTAAATTTTAACTCAGGGATAAACAAAGCCTAAAAATAGTGACAATAACATCCAGCAAAGTAATATGCAGACTTCAGCGTACCTCAATACGCTGTGTAACTTATTTAAAATTCCGAATGGCATTATTGCTCAAACATCACATCTCATCATCTACGGTGAATCTATTAGCTCACAACTCGGCCTCGGCCTGTGGCCATTTACTATTTCCATCAACTATTGTTAGACATGGGTTTGGTGGAAAGGATGCATCTATTGATGATCTTCTATTTTCATGTGTAGAAGGGCGAGTTACAGGTCACACACACACACACACACACCTGTTCTTCATGGAGAACCACCTGGTCCTGCAGTGGGTTGCCCAGTGCCGCCACAGAGACAAAGGGCTGCCACACTCCACTGATGGTTCGGGGGAAGATGTCGTAGAGCTCAACGCACTGGACGGAGTCTCCTCTCTCCTTCATAGCATACAGCGATACAGGGTTACATGTTGCCACGTAAATGGAATCTATGAGGTAAAAAAAGATTCACTTTCAAAATAAAAGTCACAGGACTTTATAATGCCATATTAATTAGGTCAAAGGTTTGTCTCCATGAGACTAACTTCGATGTCACTGTGCTTTAGTCGTGGCCTACCGTTAGCAGTGGTGACGTCGCAGATGATGTTGACCTCGTTCATGGGGATTTGCCAGTGAGCCTGTTCCTCAGTGAAGCTCATAGATCTGGTCTCATGCCTTTCAGATGGATAACTCTGAACCCGCAGAAACACCGGGCCCTGAGGAAATCCACAGATGTCTAAATGTCTAAAGTGTAATTTGCTAATTACAACTTTGAAATATTGAAAATAAATGAAAGGTTTATGATACCTTTATGTCTATCCGATGGGACTCTGTTGGACACAGCAGCTTTCGTCGTGTATTACCGTCCCGATTGATGGCCCAGTAACCCGCCATCTTACAGTCTGGCAATGGTAACCTAGGAAAAGGGTATTTAGTAATTGTTATACCTAAAAATTCAAAGTTATTAAATTGAAATTGTTACACTATAACAACATGTAGGTCATAAAAACACCTAAAACTGTGTTCTTTTATTGGGTTAAGCAAAACTGACTGGCACACCTATATTTTTGCAATGATTTATGAAAGTAATCAGTGTTTTTTTCCAGTGACTGGCTGTGTTTACTGTATACAAGAATATAATAAAATAAATTGCACCTAAATCAGAAAATGATGTGCGAGTAAATGATGGTCATTGTTTCATTCAGCTTTGTACATGCCCCAGAACTGAAGACAGTCTGCTGTCTCTGACTGTGTTAGTTGTTCATGTTGATTGACTTTCATGAAGGTTGTAGTTACACATCTGGATATTGCAAAGTTACTTTTCCCAGAGAAAACATTACTGCACTACTCTGTAATTCCAGCAGGAGGGATAACATATCATTCCAATCAAGATAAAATGTTCAAATGTTATGAGAAATGTTAAAGAAATGTATCATTTCCCTCAGCAAGGACACATTAAATTGATCAAAAGTGACAGTAAATACATTTATAATATCACAAAATATATCTTCAAAATATTTAGCAGCACAACTGTTTCCAACATTGATAATAATATCGTAGCGTCCATTTACACCAAGTGCAAATATAGCCCGCTATGTTGGCAGAGGCTGTTAAAGCTAACTCCACCCACCATGATCTGATTGAGCCAGACAAAATTACAAAAAGAAATCCTGCTGACAACAGAATCAGTGGCATGGAGAGTAAAGATGGTGCTGTTACCTTTTTGACGCAACCAACCCGTTCGAATCTGTCTTTTTCCGAAATCATTCTCCTCCCTTTTCCCATCACATATCAGCTCAGAGTAGCATTTAATTTAAATAAAAAGTAAACATTCAAAAAATTGTGGAAATTAAGTACAAGCAATGTCACAATAAAGCAGCATCCATTTATGATTTTAATAAATATAATCATACACACTGAATGTGTTATTATTGCATACGGTTTTGCATACACTGAGGTGCAAATAATATCTGCCACTATTTGTATTAACTATAAATAGCATCTAAAAACTTTTTACACTTAGTGCAAAGAAAATACTGCTATTTTCTCAGTGCAAAAAATAGAGCTTTTTTAATATTAGTGTATACATTTAACGAAAAGTGCTTTGTTACTATTTACACAGTGTAAATACTAGTATCTATTGCTATTTGCACTTAGCTGCTGCTTAATAATAAATGCTACTTGAGCAGAAAATAAGCATATTAGAGTGATTTCTAAAGGATCATATGACACTGAATACTGAAGACAAATTGCTGCTGAAAATTCAGCTTTGCCATCAAAGAAAAAAACTAAATTTTTAAAATACTTCATATTTCAGAATATTACTGTATTTTTAATCAAATAAATGCACTCTTTGTGAGCATGAGACCTCTTTTAAAAAACGTATGTATAAAGTATGATTCAAAAGGAAATATTTGTTTCTTCACCGTGTCATTTTCCAGTATTTCGTATAAAACATAATACATTGTGTAGACCAGATGGCAAAACACTCAAAAGCAAGTGAAATAAAGACAAATATGAGACGGAAGAAACAAATAATTTCCTTTATTAAAAGTGTATAATATACAGCACTGAGAAAATGAAATTACCTTTATGGAATGAGACATTATTTGTTGTTATATAATGCTGATGTCAAACTCTTAATAATTAGATAAAAAGGCAAATTCCAAACAGTGGAACGGCAGACAGCGATGGGACATACACACCACAGGATCGTTCCAGATAAAAGAGACAATTATGTCTTTAATTGCTCCCTTTGCCAAGTGTCTTCCAAACAACCACATTATGAGACACAACTGTCATGCTCTCTCCAGATTTCCCACTTCAAGTGCTCTGTTCTTCATAGTGAACAGGGTATAGAGATGCTCACTTCCCATTGGAATTTGCCCATAAATCTTCTACAAACACAAACCAGACCCTGACAATAAAGTTCTCGGTTTTAGTTCTTTCTGAGTCTGAGAAAGTATTTTTTTTATGTTCACTTTTAAGTATGTTAATTCATATTGTTTTGTCTATTGCACCTTCAATGAAATAAGCAGCTTATGAGTTAAATGCATCCGTTAAAGGTGAAGTTTGTAATTTTTGTGACACTAGAAACACAATTGCTGTTCATTTGACACAACAACACTGGCTAAACCAATGGTGTGAGTTTGGCATGTTTGTCAGAGCAATGCAGATGCAAACTTTACTTGAAACCAGTCATTCATGCATCATTTTGTTTAGCGTCACTGCTGTTGAAGAAAAAATTGCACACTTCACCTTTAAACGCATTTGTTTAAGTGCATGGTTTGAGGACCATGCAGAGCAGATCCTTTCTACAGGTAGTCTTATTAGTCCAGGACAGTGTGGCTGTTAGAGAACTCAATATTTGTCTATAAAACTGTATTCACAGACAATAAAAGGGCAATAGGAGCTGAGCTCTTACTCCTTGGCCAGGTGTACGCTGGTGGGTTTGGCTCCGATAGGAATGCCGTGCTTGTGCAGAGCTGTGATCAGCACCTCACGCGTGTCCTTGTTATAGGAGTCAAAGTCAAACACATTCCTCACCACGTTGGCCAATCCCTCATCCGGAAATTTCTGGAAAAAGAGGAGAAGAAGGTAAGCCACAAGACAAAAGCGTTTAGTTTTAATGCATTTTAAGAGCACTATGATTTCACGTTATCAATCATTGCAGATTAAAGACATTCGTAGAGGAGAGATTGATAAAATATGTAAGATTAGTTTCCCTTTCGGCTGATAAGTGTGCATTTAAATTGAACTGGCCACAACACACGGGATGTTTGATTGGAATGAGGAATTTACTGAACTGCAATTCTAAAGAAATTCAACGTTGTCTCATGGGAGAGGAATTTCTTTTGACGAAAACAAGTTTAGCAAGAAGAAAAAACATGAATAATAAGACTATTAACTATATAAAGCTTACAATAACATTTGATATGTCAATGCCACTAATATATCAACATGATCAAAGGTTTGCTGAAAAACCTTTTGTACACAATCTGCAACAGTTCATGCTTTCTGTAGTCTGATTGACATTTAAAACGTTTTTAAGTGAGTAAAAGGCCTTCTAGTATAATTGTGCCCCTTCGGGTTGTGATACATGTGTCTTTTTGCTGTCAAATCTTTACTGATTGATATGCATTTACTGTATTTACATGCATTTTATCTAAGTATTTAGTTCTGCTGTTATAAATATATAATTGATTTACATTACAAGCAATACTTTTTAGTCATAAAAATATCAGCAAATGCACCAAATTGCTTACTTTGGCCTCGGAATAAAATTGAGGTGATTTGAGTATGAGCTCAATATTATCCGATATCATACTACAGATTTATCAAATACTCAACAAAAATACATATGCAATTTTTTTAGACTTTCTTTTTATGTTTTGTCTAAAGTTGAAATTAAATGTTCAAATTAAAACAAACAAACAAAAAACAACTTCAGACCATTATTTCATACATTTCATAATTTTTGACTAATAATTTTCACAAATTTCTCTAAGTTCAACATGGTCAACACAATTAACAGCCATTAAAACTGATTTTTACTTTAGCAATAAACAACAAAATATCAATAACTTTGTTTTCAGATTTATTGTTTAAAAATCAATGCTGACATCAAACTTGATACAACAACTATTGATGAAACTTGAAGGTGTGTTTTCCACCAGTGTTCATAAAATTAAATAATACTTACATTTTACTAATATTATTCAGTGTTTTGTAACTAACCATGTTGTGCGTTTGATCACGTTTTATGGGTAATTCATACTGAAATATTGCACATATTATTATAAGCTACTCAGCAAAATGAATTTCTTTTTAATTTCATGCCATTTTAATTCTTTGTTTAATTCAAATTTGATTTGTTTGCTTCCTCACTTCAAGTGAATTGGGATTTTAAATATTTTCAATTGAATTAATTGTTTCACAACCTGCCTATGGTTATGTTCTTCTTTGTCTAGATACCTCTCACTATGGACATATGTACACAACTAACTTCAGGATTTGCAAAATGAGATTCTTTTAAACAATCTTGAAGGAGTTGACAGGGCAGACACTGGTCGCTGCTTTTCCTTTTTTATCTGATCCAATACAAATAAAATAAAAAAAGTTTAGTTTAGAAATTCATAAGTAGACAATTTATATTTGTGTACAAAGCTGATTTCAAGCATGTCGGTCTTTAGAACAAATGGTTTATACGATCACATGGGAAAAAAATCAGTCAAGTTTAACTGCTAGTGTAGACTTCTGATGGCTGCTTGCGGCAGACTAATCTGACAACTGACTCCTCATCCAACGTGACAGATTAATTCCATCCATCTATCTGCACCCCTGTCACTCCTGAGAGCTGAGGCTAGAGTAGGAGGAGGCTGGTACGCTGTGTGTGTGTGTGAGAGCAGAGTTAAAGCCCAGAGACAGGTGGCCCAGAATGGCAGTGTGGCCTCTATGTGTCAGATCAGTCTGAGAGTGGGCCGAGTGACGAGACAAGGTCTTTCCTCCCTCACTCTGTGTCTCGTGCGGCACCTTTCATCTCAGACATAGGGTAACTCACCCTCATCTATTAAACATCACAAAGTTCATCACCGGCACAAAGTCTGAATTCTTAAAATGGGGAACATCCTACAACCAAGATGTTTGAAGTATTCTGGACATGATCCTTCCCTTTAGATGAGAAGATACCGTCTGATTGTCATGCAAAACAACCAACCAGTTTTTTTTAAGTGCCTGAAATACACTACAATACATTTTTTTCAATATTTTTTGAAAGAATTAAAACTTCTATCAGCAACGATCCATTAAATTGACCAAAAGTGACAGTAAAGACACTTATAATGTTACAGAAAGTTACAAGAATCTTGAAATTATCACGGTTACCACAAAAATATTAAGTATAGCTGCACGATATATCGAAATATCGCAAATGTACACATCGCAATAGGCATATCACAACGGTTTGCAATAACTGAATGATTTTAATACTTCAAAAAGTTATGAAAAGTCAAAGTTTTAGATTAACGCAGATAGCAGATACGGGACTAGACACATGACTATTAAATACCTGTGACATGCTTAATGTTAAAAAGCGCATAAGCAGCAGAAAAGAATACACAAAAAAGCTGCTGTTATAACACCGCCTCTCGGACAGTGCAAGATCCAGAATTCAGTTCCCTTCCGAAACTTATTTGGCCAAATACACACAAAATTATGTCAAAATGCCAGTCTTGGCTATTAATCATGTATATACAGTTGGTTTTGTCTTTGTCTTGGCAGTCTTTTTGAGCATAAGAGACTTCTTTCAAAAACATATTTAAAAAAATCTTAGCGACCCCAAACTTTTGAACAGTAGTGTAATTGATATTAAAATAATAAAAGGAGTGGAAATACAATTTTAAATAATAGAGTCACTCTGTCCATTATTTGCTTTCATTTAGTGTTAAATGCATCAAACGGCCTGTGAACTATAAATGTTTTAGACGTGAGCCGTCTGAGGCTATAACTACCTGCCAGTTACCTGTAGGTGTTTTACGATGTTGACCACCTCTCGTGTAGAGTAGGGGTAGGTGATTGTTCCTTGGTCAGCCATGGCCCGGAGCTCTCCGAATGCAGCCACCAGTTTCTGGAGAACAGCATCAGGAACGCCAGGCCCGTACTGCTTCAGCATGGCAAACTCTGCCTGAGGTTTGGGGTTGTCCACTGCATGGCAGCTAAATATGTCCCCTGAAAGAGTGATTCATCATATCATCATGAGTATTACAAACAAATATAAAGCCCTTACTTGATATTTGTTTGTAATTTTCATGATGATTTGATGATCAAGACATTCTGTGATCAAATACTATATAATGGAACTGTCAATATATAAGCCTTACCAAGAGCTCCAAAAAAGTCATTTCCCAAAAACGGAAAGCCTGGTCGGTTTGCTAAAACAATCATGCGGAAGTCTGGATGCATGGGAATGGCATTAGGCCTTCCTGCTGCTTCCAACGGGTCTGTGGAAATCAAAGAACAATTCCAGTTTTAAAGACTGTCCGTGACGGGTCAATGATGTGGAACATATCCATTTCACCTGACACTATTCTTCTTCCATCTGCCAGGATCATCTCTCCACTTTCCACCAAAGTCTTCAGGATGCAGGTGACATTTGTGGGAGCTTTATCAGCTTCATCTATCACCAGGATGTGTCCCATCTTCACAGCTTTAACCTTGAAAACAGCACATTTTTATTTCATTATTTATTTATTCCGTCAAGTCTACTTACACTCACCTAAAGGATTATTAGGAACACCATACTAATACTGTGTTTGACCCCCTTTCGCCTTCAGAACTGCCCTAAATTCTACATGGCATTGATTCAACAAGGTGCTGAAAGCATTCTTTAGAAATGTTGGCCCATATTGATAGGATAGCATCTTGCAGTTGATGGAGATTTGTGGGATGCACATCCAGGGCACGAAGCTCCCGTTCCACCACATCCCAAAGATGCTCTATTGGGTTGAGATCTGATGACTGTGGGGGCCATTTTAGTACAGTGAACTCATTGTCATTGGTTTAAGAAACCAATTTGAAATGATTCGAGCTTTGTGACATGGTGCATTATCCTGCTGGAAGTAGCCATCAAAGGATGGGTACATGGTGGCCATGAAGGGATGGACATGGTCAGAAACAATACTCAGGTAGGCCGTGGAATTTAAACGATGCCCAATTGGCACTAAGGGGCCTAAAGTGTGCCAAGAAAACATCCCCCACACCATTACACCACCACCACCAGCCTGCACAGTGGTAACAAGGCATGATGGATCCATGGATCTCATTCTGTTTACGCCAAATTCTGACTCTACCATCTGAATGTCTCAACAGAGATCAAGACTCATCAGACCAGGCAACATTTTTCCAGTCTTCAACTGTCCAATTTTGGTGAGCTCTTGCAAATTGTAGCCTCTTTTTCCTATTTGTAGTGGAGATGAGTGGTACCCGGTGGGGTCTTCTGCTGTTGTAGCCCATCCGCCTCAAGGTTGTGCGTGTTGTGGCTTCACAAATGCTTTGCTGCGTACCTCGGTTGTAACGAGTGGTTATTTCAGTCAAAGTTGCTCTTCTATCAGCTTGAATCAGTCGGCCCATTCTCCGCTGACCTCTAGCATCAACAAGGCATTTTCGCCCACAGGACTGCCGCATACTGGATGTTTTTCCCTTTTCACACCATTCTTTGTAAACCCTAGAAATGGTTGTGCGTGAAAATCCCAGTAACTGAGCAGATTGTGAAATACTCAGACCGGCCCGTCTGGCACCAACAACCATGCCACGCTCAAAATTGCTTAAATCACCTTTCTTTCCCATTCTGACATTCAGTTTGGAGTTCAGGAGATTGTCTTGACCAGGACCACACCCCTAAATGCATTGAAGCAACTGCCATGTGATTGGTTGATTAGATAATTGCATTAATGAGAAATTGAACAGGTGTTCCTAATCCTTTAGGTGAGTGTATAATGTTAAGCAATGTCAGATTTCACAGTATTACTGATTTACTGCATTTTTTATCAAATAAATACAGCCTTTGTGAGCATAAGGCCCTGTTTAACCCTGATATTAAGATGAGTTTAGTTTACACCTGCCCCGTTTACCCCTGGTGTTTAAATCTCTTTTGTCCACTTTCTCCCACTTCTGTCCTGATTTCTTTGAGGAGAGGGTCTATGGGCGGGTAAATGAATGGGCTTTTTTCAGATTTTTCGATCTAATGGACAAAATAAGCTCACACAATTTACACATGAATGCAAAAAAGAAATGGAGAACAGTAGCTTTCATTTCTGCTCTGACAGCCGCGAAACGACGACGCCGAACGCGTCTTCTTGTTCGTCTCATTCCTAGAAATCAGGAATGGTGAGAGAACATTGTGCTTGGTCCGTTTTTCATCTTCAACCCAAACTTGGGTCTCCAGCCAAAGTTTAAAAAATCCTGTCTGGCCAGCACGCCTCCCATAATGTTTACGCATTAAAACAGTAGTCTGTCTTTTGTGGCTGTTCGAATGCATTCGACCACATGAGCGTCTACGGTTCACTATGAAAGCAATCCGGTCGAATGTGAACAGAAGTGTACCTTTAAGACTTTTATAATCTTTGTATTTAATTAGGCAACAATTCACTTTAACTTCTAAGATGTTCAAGAAAAATTGAGATTAACTGAATGGAATCAGATTGTGACTGGCTGAATTGAAATAATTTTTTTGATTATAAGGAAAGATTCCATACTGAATAGGCACTAACATACAGATGTCACAGACTGAGCAAAACAGCTTGGGTTTGGTCCATGTACCTTCGAATAATTTGTTTTCTTGTTTTTGTCGTCAAAATGGGAAAACTAAGAAACCATTCACTTATCACATATTCGACCCTTCTCGTGAACATAAATAAACTAATCTCATGTCGTTTTATTATATTTTTGTTTTCATCACACTTTGTACTAATTCACCAAACGGACACCAAAATGGATAAACGGCTTGAATTTTCACTCTCTACATGGGTGGGAAATGAAACGCCCCTTTTAACCAAACATCAAACCGTGCCGTCATACGTTATTCCTCAGTTTTGCGCAAACAGAATAATAGTAATCCACTGCTACAGTTGTTCGGATTCTTAAAGCATTTATTGCAACTACATTTCATCTCTTTCTCATCAAACAACCAAACTAATAGATTGACACAAACCATACCGGGGCAGATAGGCAGGACTTTCTTCTGTGTAGACATAGGTTCACTAATATGGCTAACTACACGTGCCAGAGAAATACACTATTATAGGTATTACTAGATAGAAATACACTACAATATAATTCTGTTTTGAAGGCAAAAACATGAAAACAAATTACCCGAAGGTACAGCTTGGTTTCCTTTGACTGACCATATTTGAACTGTTGCACCATGGATCCTCTTTATTCCAAAACAGCAAAGAGGAACAGAGTTAACAGGGAGCTGAAGATTATAGCCGTGTTTTCATCATATCTGATATGTACAGCTGACATTATCGCCTCTTATTTACAACACAGAGCTGAAAGGTGGTTTGGGGAGAACGAGGGGTGTTTTCTTGATGCTTTTATCTGTTGGACCGGCACAATGAGAGACCATTTGGAAGCATCGATATCAGATGAGGCGTCAGAAGGGGCTTCAAAGCCTAAAGACTATTTATACCCTGAGAGCTGCCGCTGGGTGCTAATTGAGGGGCCAAACTCCGAGTCACAGCCTGCTTTTCATCTCCATCCACCTTGTTTCGAGCAGAGACATCGTTAAAAGCCTTATGTAGAGAACACCCGCGACCCTGCTTCACAAACAATGTGTCTAAATGGCACCACCACGCTAACAAAACAACAGGCCGACTTCAGAAACGAGCAGCGTGGTGGATTATAACACACTGTCCTCGAGGTCATTCATTCATTTTTAATGCTTTTTCCCTCATCTGTGCCGGGGAGTCCTCCGGGTTTGAGCTGGCAACGTGTTTGTCCTCGCTTGAGCAGTGGTCTGGACCATCTGCTGATAGATGTATAAATATCACTATGAACCACTGAGGTGATGAATCACATACACAAATACTGATAGAGCTCACTGTAGGTGTGAATACAAATAAAAAAGTAAGTATGGGCTCTGTTACAAAGCCTTGCTGTCCACTACCTACATAGGAAAGTATCTTTGAGGCAGCATCATAAGTCAAATGAAACAGCATGGGTCATACAAATTAAAGCTGCTTGTGTGAAGCATAAAAGACACTGAATTGATTCCAATAGAGTTGGGTGTTAAGGTGCGATCACATTAGGAAAAGTTCGCTAAAAACAGACAAAAAAGGGTCCATGTCTATTGTCACTAGTGTAGCGATGTACTGTATATGCACAATTCTCACAGAAGTCACTTTCAAACCAAGCGGCTTTCTGTTGGTCAACATGGCAAATTGACGTGAGCAACTTGAAAGTGAGCTAAATCTGCATAGAGAACTTTATGCCATCGTGCAAAACTCACAATCGCGTATATTCCAATTGGAATGACTGGATTTCGACCAGTGAAATTTCACAGAGCAACGGTAAATGTGACAGCACTCTAGTTGTGTTGCTAAGCTAACAACATGATACTCTTAACTTAAATAGTTGTTAATAAGTCAAAATATATGTTGCAGTGCATTCTGGGATTGCCTTCTCAAAGCAGGATACATTTGGCCAAAAGTCTTCTTGGAACCGGGATTTTCAATTCAGGGTCAAAGTCTGTTTACAGTAACACAAAGACGGTTCACTCGTATTAGTATGAATGGGAGAAACTGCAACCTTCAATATGGCGGAGAAAATCCCGCCTTCTGAACAAAAGAGCCGATCACCAAATGGTAACGTCATTGTATCACTACAACTGCTGTTAGATGCTTTAGTTCCTATAGAAATTGAAACTCGCGTATTGCGCAATGGTTGGAACAACCTGAAATATACACTTTTTAATGTTTTTTTTATAAGCGAAAGAAGCAATAATTATGATTTAGTTCATCTTGGTCTAGCATGCCCAAAATAGCTGCCCGAAGGCTCTGCCAATATGATCGCTGAGCAAACAGACTTTCCTTTAAAGAAACTTTGTAGGGTCCTGGGGCCTCATGTATCAACACTGCGTACGCACAAAAACACAGCGTACGCAAGCTTTCACGTTCACAGCCAGATGTACTAACAGTGAAATTAACGTAAGAATGTGCGTTCCTCCAAGTAAACTTCATGTCTGGCGTACGTATATTTGTCGTGATTTTTGTCCGTTGGCGACTCATAGAGGCAATAAAGTGAAGTGGCAAACATTACACTACGAATTGTTCTATCGCACCACCAGCTGTCAGATATTGCTTATAATTATTAATTGATAAATTATTTGACATATTATTGTCACACGAGTTTTATTAAAATATTATATTATGCAATTAAGTAAGAACATATATAAAGCATGTCCAAATTGATACAACCCCTCTAGCAATGGCAGTGTTGGCTTAACTAGGAATAAAAAATAAACTTAATTAATTCGGTCAGTAAAGATAAAAAAAAAGAAAGTAATATTTTTATTCAGCAAGGACACATTGAAGTGACAAGTAAAAGTGACAGTACTAAATGCATTTATAATGTTACAAAAGATGATAAGATTTCGACATCTGTTTGATTTAAGTTTTTATTCATTAAAGAATCCTGAAAATACTATATCATGGTTTCCACGAAAATATGAAGCAGAAGCACAGCTGTTTTCAACACTGATAATAATCATAAATGTTTCTTGATCATCAAATCATCATATTAGAATGATTTCTGAAGGATCATGTGACACTGAAGACTGGAGAAATGATGCTGAAAATTCAGCTTTGATCACAGGAATAAATTACACTTTACTATATATTCACATAGAAGACATTTTCAGTGAAATTTCGTTTCTTGCTTGAGCCATGTTCTTGCAGGTTTCTTTTGCCAAATTGGACTAATTACCATATTTAAATTAATTTAATTGGAGTAGGAGAGTGGGTGGGGCGTTGTGCTCGTGCATGTGCGCTCAATTTTACGTTAATTGGGATGTACAAAGAGAATATGCGTGGGATCCTTCGTACGCAGAGATTCATTTTGTGCGTACGCACATTTACAGCTTTGTCCGTACGCAATGTTTTAGTATGAATTCAACGCAAGTCTTTGTACATGAGGCCCCAGGTCACTAAAAGTCAGAAGAAAAGAATTGAGAGAAAAATAGAAAAACAATTCTACTCAATGCATTTTAAGGGCAGTCAAAGTTAAAGTATTTAAATAAAAAATCTGCATTTAGTTAATAAAAAAGTAAACATTTTAACAGATAATACATTGTAACAATTTGCCTTGGTACAATGGCAACATAAAAGCCAATTATGACTTTTACTTTTTTTGTCTTTAAATAATATCACACTTAATATTTCACTTACTATACACTGGGAGTTCAGCTTCAACCCTAACTAAAGGCACCTGATCCAGCTAATCATATTTGAGAGACCTTGGAATCAAACAAATCTACAAAAATACCAGTTTTAGAAGAACTTCTCAACGTCGAGAGTAAACCTGTGTCTGTGTAGGCAGCTCACTAGGTTTTGAAACAGAGCCATGATGTCAGTGGTGAATACTGACCAATGGAGAGTCTTCATAGACGATGACTCCATCTCTCACAGAGGGCTGCAGAGTTAAAGTCTGGACTGTGGTGTCTCTGTTGAGCATAAAAACAGAGCTTTAGACTGTGTTTGTCATGAAAAATAATACACTCTAAATGGTAAATCATAGCTAATTTCTCTAGAGGATGAGATGATATGTGGATTCATATTTATGGGTCCTACATAAGTATAAAGTAAACTGACCTACATTCAGAGTGATGGACAGAGTGTTCGAGTTCTTGTGCAGGTTTGAAATGTGACACATATCTCTATAGGCTTAGAGGGAGGGAGAATCCCTGAAGTGATTACTTTAGACTAATTTAAGATTTCCATAATCGCTAACCAGGCCGTAATGCATGCGAGTTTGACTTTGGTTTAACTTTAAAGAGGAAACTTCCAAGATTATATCAACCTCTGCACCTAATAGATGGGTTAGACACAGTGACATCTTATTTAGCATTCCCACAATTTTTTATCCAATGAGCTGTATTTGTCAAAATCCAGTATATAGTAATATTGCGAAATATTACAATTAAAATATAAATATACAAGGGTTGGAGAATGAAACAGAAACACCTGGTTTTAGGCCACAATAATGTATTAGTATGACGTAGGGCCTCCTTTTGGGGCCAATACAGCATCAGTTCGTCTTGAGAATGACAAATTCAAGTCCTTCACAGTGGCCAGAGGGATTTTTAGCCGTTCCTCTTCCAGAACAGTTGCCAGGCCCATATGTGATGCTGGTGGAAGAAAACGTTTCCAGACTCACTCCTCTAAAATATCCCAAAGTGGCTCAAAAATATTTAGATCTGGTGACTGGTGACATGGGAGATGTTCAACTTCACTTTCATGTTCATCAAAGCATTCTGTCACACGCTGTGTATTGGTGCGTTATAATGCTGATACATGGCAACCCCTTCAGGGTACAATGTTTGAAACATTAGGTGCACATTATCCTCCAGAATGGTTTGATAGTCCTTGGCAGTGACGACGTGTCCATCAAGCACAGAAGGAAATGCCATGATATTGCAGGCCAAACCATCACTGATCCACCCTGTGCTTCACTCTGGGCAGCAACAGTCCAGGTGTTCAGCCTCTCTGGATCTTCTCCACACCGTAACTCACACAGATGTGGGGAAGACAGTGAAGGTGGACTCATCAGAGAACAATACATGTGTCTGTCCACAGCCCAAGATCTGCACTGTTGGCACCATTGAAACCGACATTTGGCATTGGAACGAGTGACCAAAGGTTTGGCTATAGCAGCCTGACCTTGAATATGGACTCTGTGGCGCTCCAGATGAACAGTTTTGGAGGCAACATGAGAGTTGAGGTGCACACTTAATTCTGGAGTGAGTTGGACAGCAGTGGTTTTATATATTTTTTTGCCGAAATTACCCTGGATCCCACAGCTCTCGATAAACCACAAAGAGTTGCTGTCCTGGTCACAGATGAGCCAGCGAGACGAGCACCAACACATTTATCCTCTTTTGAACTCTGAAATCACGTCTCCCGTTATGTTGTGTGGATTGCAATATTTTATGTACAGCTGTGCTATTGCTCTGCTAATTCAATCTTCACACTCTGCTCTTACTGATGGAATGTAAAATCAGTGAAGATTGTATATAGTCGTGAAACCTCCAAAAACTATATTGGCCAGTGTTTCAGTTTCACTGATAAACCCCTGTATATCCCATATATGTCCCACAGTGCATCCTGGTGCCATCAGTTCCCCGGGTAAACTGCCATGCACGTGATAAGAAAACCTTCTTCTACTGCTCCAAGGTCCAGTTCAGATGCCCGCGTACCCTTTGTAGGCGCTTACGACGGTGGACAGAGGTCATCATAATCTATGGCTAGGCAGTATCCACATGCAGCAGATTCTAATTCACTGTGTGTTGTGACGCATTCCTCCCATAATCTAATAACCTCCCATAATTAAAATTTTGTGTGACACAATAGACCTTCAATTGGCTTGGACCAGACGTGATAGCCATTGTTGCCCTCATGCATTGATGAGCCTTTGGTGCCCAACACCCTGTCGCCGGTTTGTGCTTTATCCCTCCTCTGACCAAAGTCGGTAAATTCTCACCACCGCTAACCGAGAGCAATCCACAAGTCTTGCTATTTCAGAGATACTCTGACCCAGTTGCCTTGCCATAACAATTGGACCCTTGTCAAAGTCGCTCAGATCTTGTCGAGGAATTGTCGAAAGACATACTTTTGTGAACTGCTCCTTTTAAGTTGTACTTATGCCTTTGAAAAACTACAATTAAAGTTCCCTCTGCCCTGTCGACAGGTGTCCTAATTTATCAGGATTAAAAGAGCTCACTCAAGCCTTAGAGAGGAGATCTTTTTATATCAGGCACTCAGTCAGTATGTAAAAGGAAGTTTCACCTTCTAACACACAAAACAAAACAATAATATGATGCATCTGTGTCCAGATGTTTATCTGTCTGATAAATAAAGGTGTCCTCTTTCCTCTGTTGCATTCATATACAGAGAGGCTACATTACTCAGTTCTTCACTAATGAAGAAAAGCTCCATGTAATGTCATTAGGTGGATGTGGGTCATTCCCGGTGTGGCCTCATAACCAGGTTCTAATTGAGTCTAGCGGAGAGTAGTTTCTGATAATAGGTCTTCGTCTCTGAGAAGGCTTTATTTGAGAATAACTCAAGGGACTTCTTTTATTTTACCTGTGTAGCTGAAGATATTCTCTCGGTCTGTTCATGAGATGCAAGAATCGATCAACAATCTTGTTTTTCCCAACACCCTGCGAACAGAGTAAGAACACGTTAAAGGAACAGATCACCTATAAATGAAAATAAATGTGTCATTCATTATCTACCCATCCTCATGTCTTTCCAACCCTCTATTACTTTCTTCCATCTGTCAAGCAGATTTTAGGCAGAATATCAGAGCTTGTGGAAGTGGATGGTGATTTATACTGTCAAGTTCTAAAAAAAGCACCATTAAATATTATAAAAGTAGTCTATATTACTCATGCACAATATTCCAAGTATTCCAAGCTCACGTCATGTTATCAATAATGACACGGCAATACTGTTATCCTTAACTGTATGAATTGCCATCCACATTAATTCAATGAAAAACAGAAGCTCAGACAAATCTGCAAACAAAATAAAAACCTAATTCTTTTTTTACATCTAAAGTATAGAGCAAATCAGTGTTTTATTATATCAGTTCAGGCAAAACTACATTGGCAAACAAACACAAAATTAGATGTAGTTGAGAGTTTAAAGATTTGTGTCAGCAACCCTCTACAATGCAAGTAAATCACTCGCATATGTGACCAAACTTCATGCTAGGCACCAACAAATGTCTTTAATTAGTCAATGGCTAGTAAATTGTACGATTTGACTTGCATGTGATTGAGTGAGACGAAAAATAAGTTTAGCACAGATATTTCATTGCCTGCAGAGCTGTATTTCTGTTCTATTGTGTTCATTTGTGCTACTGCTTGTAGTTTAATTATTTGTACTTATTTTATTATAGACCGTTTACTTCTCTTTAATAATGTTTGAAATTGATGTTTTATATTATAGGATTTTTTTCATTTGCACTGTTCTTGCATGTAAAAAGTCTGGTGAGTACAATTACTAGACAATGGCGACTCGAGCTTCAGTGTGTGTAATATAGTGTTGGTCAGTAATATATATATATATTTTTATATTTTAATTCAGCAAGGATGCATTCAATTGATCAAAAATTACAGTAAAACATTCATGATGTTAAAAAAGATTTCTATTCAATTAAATTCAGTTCTTTCCAACTTTATATTTATCAAAGAGTCGTGAAAAAAAAAATATATATATATCATGTTTAGACAGAAATATTAAGCAGCAACAACTGTTTTTTACATTGATAATAATAAATGTTTCTTGAGCAGCAAATCAGCATATCAGAATGATTTCTGAAGGATCGTATGACACTGAAGACTGGAGAAATTGCATCACAAATGACATTTTCAAATATATTCAAATAAAAACAGTTACTACCATCCAAATAGAAAACAATTCAATTTTGAATTGTAATAATATTTTACAATATTACCGTTTTACTCTATTTTATGATCAAACAAATGCAGCCTTAGTGAGGATAAGAGACTTATTTCAAAAACATAAAAAAAAAAGATTGGTAGTGTATTAAACAGGAAAGCATGTATTCACAGGTCTATTTCATTTTGTGCGTCAAGCACATATATTTATGTGTTCTGTGTGTCAATCAATCTACTTGTCTAAACTCTGAGGTGACAGCAGTCCGGACGCCCACTCTTTTTCCACACCCTCAGGTCTCTAGTAGAGACAGTGGGCGAGTGCCTGGCCGCCGTAGGACACACCGAGTCCTAGTTCAGGCTGTAGCTGGTGGGCAGATGCTTTACAAACGCAGCTGTGCTTCATGGCATGACGCCACCGCTCTGGGAATGTGTACTGTACATCTACTATGCTCTCAGTATCAGAGCGGACAGACGTCCTAAAGATGGGAATCCTCAATTACCTGGTTGCCCACAAGAAGAAGGTGTTCCCCCAACAGGAAGTCCTTCAGCATGTCCTGCATGACCATCATGTGCTGTGAACAAACAGACAAAACATATTTAAGAATGAGACCAGTACTAAATACAGTGGGGTCCCAAGCTTTAAATAACAGAAATTCCAGATTTTCAAGGTGGTCTGAGACACCAAATCTGGGATTTTTGTCATTTAAAGCTGGAAACAAAGTTGAAAAACAAGATATTGAAATGGACAATCAAGGTACAATGTAACTTTTTGTGAAATAATGGTTTAAAGTATTACCAACTTGTACCTCAGTTTTTTTTAAAGCAAAAATACAGGTTGCAGTAACACTTACAAGGGAAAAAATCCTATTAAAAGGATTTAAAAGGCAAGGGTGTTAACGGATGTTAAAGCACTTCACATGAGTTATTTAGTTAAACCCTGTGTATAATTTGATCTATATGGTTCTCAAAATCATCCATTGTCAGGATGAAAAGTTTTAGTTTCCTGTTTTAGGTGGTTATTATTGCTATTTCTGTTACCAGTAAAATTATTACACTACGGTTCAAATGTTTGGGGTAAGATTTTTTTTATGTTTTTGAAAGAAGTATCTAATGCTCACCAAGGCTGCATTTATTTGATCAAAAATGCAGTAAAATACAATACTATTACAATTTAAAAGAACTGTTTTCTATTGTAATATATTTAATTTTTTTATTTTTTTATTCCTGTGATGGCAAAGCTGTATTTTCAGCATCATTACTCCAGTCTTCAGTGTCACATGATCCTTCAGAAATGATTCTAATACACTGAGTTGCTGCTCAAGAAACATTTCTGATTATTATCAATGTTGAAAACAGTTGTGCTGCTTAATTTGTTTTTGCTTAAACCATAAAAAAAGTGTCAGTATATTTTGATGAACAGAAAGTAAAAAACAAAAACAGCATTTATTTGAAATATTTTATAACATTATAAATGGATACGCATCTACTGTCACTTTTGATCAATGTAATACATCTTTGCATAATAAAAGTATTAATTTCTTTAAAAAAAAAATTCTTGCTGACCCCAAACTTTTGAATGGTAGTGAAAATTTGTAACACTGATCATGACTCTTTGTACAGACATTCAAATCATGCTGGAAATTATCAGCTTTATATGTCAGTCAAGTGATTTAAGCAAAAGTCTTCTTATGGAGGAATAGAGGGGTGCAGGTATGACGTCAGAACATGGAAGTCGCCACTGGTTCCATCGAGATGTTTTTTTATTATTTATATGTAAAATAAAGCCTCTGATAAACATAACCTGACTATACTTTGACATTTTGTTCTACAACGTAAATTACACATTCAACCAAACGCGAATTTTGACACGTACGTTTTCAAGTAGTTACTAGATAAGGCAGCTTGGGGTGTGAGTGTGTACAGTGAACTTTGAAGCACAAAACATCAAAGTACGGTGAAGTTATGTTTACTACAGGCTTTATTTTACTCAAACATTGAAAAAAAACATTATAAAACCCTACAGGAAAATTTGGAAGGAAGCAGCAGCGAGTTACACTTCCTGGTTCTGACGTCATACCTGCACCAATCTAGTAACTTTTTGTCATGGTACTACAATTTGTAATGAAAAAAAAATTATGTATTTTCACAAGTGGCCTCAGACTTTTGTGGTCCAACGTAAGTCATGTGACCTGATCTATCTCCAATGGTAAATTATGAAAACACATGAGAAAATCATCAATTATATCTGAGAAGGTCACCTACATTTTACAGACACACATAAGCTGAATGGATAGATGGGAGCAGAAATGAATTCTGGTCCAGTTATGGCACAATGAATTGAATTTTCTATTTCTGAGGCTGCAAAGGCACAAAGTGCTTTTTCAATACGATAAGGTCATATAAGAATGATGCGTTTACTGCATACACGCATTATACAAAGAGCGATGCGGGCGGACACACGAGTTTGCCATATTGGGAGGTGGCCTCAGTGGACTACTGCACTTCTCCTTCTAGTGCTCTAAAGACAAAAAAGCAGGTCATTGAAAAGTGGGACAAGAGTAACTTTTTTTCCTCCACCTCTTTCTGGGCCTCAGAAGGGAGGGTAGAGGAATATCTAGGTCATCCTCGTTCTCTTCTCACATCACTGAGCAACAGTAGCGCGAGACCAAATGCCACACATGCAGTGTTGCGACAACATCGAGTATTACTATTGGGAACACTTTATATTTTGTTATTATTGCATGATATAACACTAAACTGATCATTTATACTACCATTTAAAAGTTTGGGATCGGAAAGATTTAAAAAAGAAAATGTTTTTTTGAGGGAAGTCTCTTAGGCTCACCAAGTCGGCAATTATTGGATTAAAAAGACAGTAAAAACAGTAATATTGTGAAATATCGCTGAAATTTTAAATAATATTAATATATTTTAAAATGTAATTTATTCCTGCAATGCAAAGATAAATTTTCAGCATCCTTACTCCTTCAAAAATCATTCTAATATGCTGATTTGCTGCTCAAGAAACTATTTTTTTTCATTATAATTATGTTGAAAACAGTTGTGCAGCTGAACATTTTTGTGGAAAACGTTTTTTCAGGATTCTTTGATAAATAGAAAGTTCAAAAGAACAGCATTTATTAGATTTATCTTTACTGCCACTTTTGATCAATTTGATGCATCCTTGCTGAATAAAAGTATTAATTTCTTCGGTAGTGTACGGTATATACATTAAACTAGTCATAAATACCATAATATTCATATTTGAATGTACATTTAATACTGATATGTTCCATAGTAACATAACTGTAGCACAGTCTTAACACTAGAACTCCCAAGGCAGTCATTTTGACTGTTTTAAAATTTTGCAATGTAATAACTTTGTTGAAATAAAACCCATGTAACTATAGGACCCTTACTTTTCCTAAATGTGTCTATATTTTATTCTATCATTGTTATTTTATTAAAATGACAAGACACAAAAGAGTTTTGAGTATTTCTACCTTGAATGGCTATAACAGTCATACTGACCGTATGCATTACAGACCGAGTGTCGGTTGCTCCCTTTTCCCGCTCTTGGAGATGCATCACCGTTGACTAGCAACAATTTCTCTTGTTGTTTGTTTAGTCTATTGCAAAGCTGAAATCTAGCTTTAGCTTCGAGCTAAAACCAAATTGAAATATTGAAAAGAGAATATCAGAACAATGTCAGCAAGAAGAATGACTGCCACAGAGGCTTTAGCCATGCTTCAGAGCCTTGATGAGGCTGAGTGGTTGTTGGTTAACTAATACATTTTTACATAAATCATAATTAAAATGTAGTGTGACTGCTATGGCCATTATAGTAGTTATAGAATTCCTGGAGTCCTAGTGTTAAGTGGCTTATTGCTATTATTTGATGAAATGCACAAATGTTCAACAAGAAAATGTATTTATTATTAATAATAAACAATTTTCCACCAAGTAATATAGTTCATTAGTCTAACTGTATGTTGTTTGTGTTGCCAATTAAGTAACTTGCTAATTTGTTAATCTAAATAATGGTTGCTATCCCCTGTGTCCAATATTTCAAACATTTTCTTCTTTTTAAGTGATACAAACATACACACTTTGTGCATTGAAGATGAAGTACATCATTTCAGAATTGTAACCTGTATATTTGAGCAGCTAACTTGGCCAGAAATGGCTCGACTGGTGTGTAGAGTTGGATTGTTTTGACTGAACAGTGGCAGATGGGGGGAGTATTTGAATCATTTTTGTTTGGGTTTACAAATGTAAAGTAACTGATCGCTATCTAGTTGAACATATGAGCAGTTGTGCATGAGAAACAGTGGTTTTATTCAGCAATAAGAGACTTAACTTTGAATGCTGAACATCAGCGAGAAGACCTTGAAATCCCTAATAATGAAATATGATTACACCCTGTTTCACTGTGGGCCAGCCGAGATCCTGCTGTACTTGAACGTGCCTGTGTGTTTGGCCAATGTTCTTTTGTGGGTCCTCTCTGAGATCTGACCTTTGAGCAAAAGTCTCCGCTGATTTACAAGGCTTAGACAGATAGATTGAGCTTTCCTCACTGCCAGACCAACGTCGCCTCATTGCCAAGCAACGTTGCATGTTTTTTTTTTAAATACAGAATTCATCTAGTGTTCGGTCACAATGTGCGTGTGTGTATCTGCTATTCTACAATGCTTTGATATTTCGATTTTTTACATTTTTGCAATATGCTTTGTATTGCGATAATATATAACTGCAAATGTCACCAAAAACTGTGCACATATATTTTTATCGAATAAGATAATCTTCTCAGTCTGTTTTTTCATCTTCATACTGTATCTATCTCACTTCGTTCCTTCCTTGTATTTTAGACATTTTTATAAATAGAAATTACAGCTGTCAAATAAAAATGTTTGCACACTCAATTCAATGTATTTTTTAAGCAGTTTTACAAAGAACAACCTTACAAACACCCTGATAAGCAAGTTAAAGGTGATACTATTTAGTTCGAATATGTAATTATGTGATGAATCGTATTTATATTGTTATAGGAAAACGCATACATTTGCCATTAAAGTAACACTATGTAGTTTTTCAACCTTCATAATATATTTCCAAGACCCTTGTGATGGTACATCGACTTACAATAGGTTAAATGACACGTCTGCCATAGCCTGACGTGGTCTGTATCGCTTTTACTAGCACAAAAAGAACTACAAAATTCGACTGCTTTACGGCATACGTCACTTCACCCACCACTTCCTCAAATTGTCTGTGGCCATTGTTGATTCCAAAGCCGGTGCTGGATAAACAGCGAGCGTGCGCGTGCGACAGTAGGCTGCGGTAGGCTAAATTATTTACGACAGCAGTACTGGACAATTCCGCTGTGGGCAGCAGAGAAGAGGACAATGTGTCTTCCGGTAATAGGCAGATAAGAACCTCACCTGAACGTTCTCATAAAAGAGCACGTCTGGGACCTTCATCTTCTCATCAGGGCTGTACACAGGAGCCGAGATGTTCCCTATGGTCAGAAGTCCATCTTTTACTGTGCCTAACAGGGGAGAGCAGAAATGAAAAGAAAACATTAGAGATTCTCCAAAAAATAGGTTTTACCAGACAATGACTACCTATCCAGCCATGTCACTGACCAGCTACCAGCCTCTTTTCTACACAAAGACAATTTATTTCCTCCCATCTACACTTTTACACAACATAGTACTGTACATCTGACATCGAAGACTGTGAAACAGTCTCTTACAGACAGCGGTGAAAATGGGACACAAATATCAGGGCAGGCTACAATTACTGAGGAACCACTGAAGCTGACTGAGCCTGGTTTGTGTGAGATTTAAAACTGAATTGAGAAGGACTTTTCAAATTCAGCAAGATGCAGAATTGTAATTTGAATTCAAATGTAAGGAAGTCGAATTAAATGGAATTTAACTGCTGAAAGTAGTCAAAGACAATACATTTGAGGCCATAAACATGTGATCATACACATAACAAATTGAGTATTTCCTTAAACATTACATAATATTAATAATTCATGTTTGAAACGAAACCTATAGAAATGTGTAAATAATTTATAATTATATAATAGTTATGCAGTATTGAATATATTTAATATCTAATTTCTTTTTATCTTTTAATAATCTAACAATGGTGGAAGAATGCTATTTTCCAGAATGCTCTAATTTACCCAAAAGTCTTTAAAATGTAGCCAAACATCCAGATGATATTAAACCAATAGATGCAAATGTAGGCAATATTTATTTTCACATTTTAAAAACAATGTGGTAGACTAGACATTTCATGGTGCTGCACGTAACGAGTGGTTTGTGTGAGAAAACGAACAGTATTTATATCGTTTTTACCTCTTGTAAACACAGCCACGTCCAAGTGATCTGAGGTCGCGAGCGCTTCGGTCTTTTCCAGAAAGCACCGGAAGTGATCTCTCGCGCGTGTACGTCACTCATACAATTGTTTTATTTTTTTGGAATTGTTTTCTTTTACGACGGTTTAAACATCCCGGATAAGCGCAAATTAGAACCCTTTTAATTAGCCGTCTTACCTACAATCTCTGCTCTGTGTAAACAATGAGTGACATACACGCGCAAGAGATCACTTCCAGCGCTTTCCGGAAAAGACCGAACCGCTCGCGCCCTCAGATCACTTGGACGTGGCTGTGTTTACAAGAGGTAAAAACGATATAAATACTGTTCCGTTTTCTCACACAAACTGCTCGTTTCGTGTCTTAGGCCATCAATGTGTACTTACATTTACGAGTCATTAAATCATGTTTAATTTGGACTTCTCTGTGCATGCTCTTTGAGGTGGTGACCATAGACCTGCATTATATGACTGACAGACAAGAAAGGTTTGACCTAAAAATATCAAAATTGAAAATACTGTGGACACAAAGACACCTACATCTTGGATGCCCTTGAGGTAAGCTAAAACATATCAAAAATTAATTTCAAAGTGAACTATCCCTTTAAGACTGGCAAAACGTATTCTTCATATATGAGAATAAAGTCAAAATGAGTCATAATTAATGATTTTGTGTTTACAAAACCCAGTTAATTACATATGTTTACATGGACTACTGAAATCCCTCTATTGTATCAAGTTGAATTTCTCAGTATTATAATTCAACATCCTGTGGATCTTATGGACTATAATAGTAACTCTGACTTTTGCTTAGCCCTGGTCTGAACTGGTGTTGTACTGTAACTCACAGGTGTAGAGGTGGTTCTGTTCTGATGCTGGGTCAGGCTGATCCTCTATTGAGCAGTTCATAAGACTCTTCTGAAGAGACGAGCGAGCCAGACTGGGCAGAAACCTACAAAAAGAATTCAATCTTTATGCATTTCAAATCAACTTTACCCAGTCATTGCAGTGTGTAGTGTGTCATTCTTAGCATCAAACATAATACAGAAAAAAATATATATTTTAAAGCAAGATTCGCGTTTGCCGTTGGTTGATAACAGACAGTCAAACTCATGTTTTTGCTGCTATGTCATATCCAGTCTGAAGCCACTAGTGGCAAATAAATTACACATTTCACTTTTAAGCTCTAAAGGCCCATTCACTTCAAGTCTGCATGAGGATTTTACACTATAACAATGCATCCTTATAAAATCCTTAACATCAATTTGTGAATACCAGAATGATGGTCATTTCGACATTTACATCAGTGTGATTCATTTTGGTGTAGAGTTTGATGTAGTACGGACCTTTGCAAACCGCACCACGAAATGGGCTGATGACGAAATACGGCTGTGTGCACTGTCCTATTTGCCACTTTCAAGGGTCCATAAAAAAGACTGGTACAGTAAAAAGTGCTAAAAATGTTGGCTTTCATTCGGGCAGTATGTCATATTTCAAGGCCTTATGTCCACTTTGGCGGCCAAAAAACCACACCACGGCCTGATGGCGCAATATGCGGCTCAGTGTGCATCGTCCTATATGCCAAGTTTAATGGTTCATAAAAAAAGATTGGTACAAAAAATTATTTAAAAAAACGCTACATTTTTATTTCATTAGGGCAGTATGTTTTTATTGTCCCATATAAAACTTAAACGGCCAAATTTAAAAATATTGGTACAGTAAAAATATTTCTCAAGATCAATTCACCCTTTATTAAAACACTTTGTTGTATTTAACACATCATTGTAGGTGGCGGAGAAATACAGAATTTAGGGAGAGTCGCGTTATATAAAGGGGAGGCGCAGGCATCAGTAAGTGACAAGCAAAGATGTAGCCTCGTACAAGACAAACTACTCTAACAAAATCCAACTCTTATTACTGTTCCAATCTTTTTTCATTAACCATTGAACTTAACATATAGGACAATGCACACCGAGCCGCCTATTGTGCCATCAGACCATTTGGCTGCACACTTTCTCGGCAGCCACAGGCAATGATTTAAAGCGGACATAAGGCCTTTATACTAGAGGTACTGCCATAACAAAATCTAAATTTGCAAAATCACAAAATTTTATATTGAACAATAACGAAAATCCAAATTTTGAGCACGTTTTACTGTACCAATCTTTTTTTTTTTATGAATAATTAAACTTAGTATATAGGACAATGCACACTGAGCCGTATATTGTGCCATCAGCCCATTTTGCAGCATGATTGCCACAGAGGATGCTTTAATCGGACATAAGGCCCCGATATTAAAGGTACTGTCCTAAAGAAAGCCAAATTTGAGCAAACAGCTCTCTATTAATTCATCCACATCCATGCTCTCGTTTGATGGCAGTGACGCACAAAGGAAATAGCTTCTAGTCAGAGCCTTCTTTTAATGCGGTGCAACATGAATGAGTTTGAGTTTGTCTACCTGGACAGACAGGCTTTGTTAACAGCGTGAGCAACACTCTCCTGTGGATACTGAGAAAGACGCCGACAGATTCTCAGCAGCTGCCTGGTGGACAATGAAGAAGCAAGGGACAGGGCCTGGACATGGCACAAAAACACCAAAGAACATTAACATTTCATCTCACAGAATCAAAAACAACACAAACCACAGAACAAAACCCCTATAATGGGGAAAAAATATGAACCAAGTCTACTGAAAAAGTAGGACAATCACTATTGTGCTCTAATACAACAGGATATTTAGGGTTTCTGGGACAGAAAACACTAGTAAACAGCAGAGTAAGCAGTTACTAAACAAGAAACCATATGTGGTGTTTTATAACAAACCCTTAACAAATGTGCTGATAAGAAACTCCTGTCTCTCTATATGAGTCTGCTCTTTGACCACTGGAGTCAAGAATTGGGCCACAATCTCTCTTTGCTCCATGTATGTGGTGAAGGAATTAATTCCAGCCTCTGCTTTTGTTAAAGGATTTAGGGACCAAACATTGGTTCATCGGCTCACCGTTGGATCGTTGGATTTTCTCAGGCTGTGAGTCAGGTGTTGCAGCTGCTCCACTGCTTCTTTGGGAACATTTGGGATCTGTTATAAAAAAAGACATCACGCAAAACTCAAACCTAGAAAGAAAGGGTCAGAGCTAAAATTGCATTTGATTCAACAAGTGATGCAGTGCGTAAACATGTTGGGTGTAAGCAAGCATATTTAATCAAACACCACACTATTGAAATTAGTCTGAAGGTGATGTGACTGACCATGCCCTGGAGAATGGCCGTTTCCTCTGCCTTGGCCAGTGGTTTGATGGTGTGAAAGAGAAACATGGTGAGAATCTCTGGGCCGAGCCACTGCTGAGTGGCGCTCCCGACCTGAGGAGGCTCGGCTAGGGCGATGATCCTGAATGACGGGTGGATTGGGAAGATGGATCTGTGGAGAAGATAGCAGTTATAACTGGTTTCTTATTTACATCAAGCACAGTCTCTTTATCAATTCGTGATACATACTGGAATAGTAATACAAAAAATCAACAATTTTAATGCTCAGACAGAGGTTTATCCCACAGCTACCAAAGCATTAAAGTATTCTAATTCACAACGTGGAAACAAAGAACTAAAGAAGAGTGTACTCAAATCGATTAATGCACAGCTGAGCTGGCTGTGGATTATCCTGCTTAAACCATGGTCATTTGCCAGCAGTGACAAGTTAACGCTGTTATTGATGTTTGCAGAGCAATATTTGACCGGAAGGATACAAATTATGGTTATTTTAGGCAGTTACGCCATGTAAGATCTAACATTCTGCCTGTTTTAAATCCGACACAGAGATAAAGTAGTGCTGTAAGATTACACTCACCTAAAGGATTATTAGGAACACCATACTAATACTGTGTTTGACCCCCTTTCGTCTTAATTCTACGTGGCATTGATTCAACAAGGTGCTGAAAGCATTCTTTAGAAATGTTGGCCCATATTGATAGGATAGCATCTTGCAGTTGATGGAGATTTGTGGGATGCACATCCAGGGCACGAAGCTCCCGTTCCACCACATCCCAAAGATGCTCTATTGGGTTGAGATCTGGTGACTGTGGGGGCCATTTTAGTACAGTGAACTCATTGTCATGTTCAAGAAACCAATTTGAAATGATTGGAGCTTTGTGACATGGTGCATTATCCTGCTGGAAGTAGCCATCAGAGGATGGGTACATGGTGGCCATAAAGGGATGGACATGGTCAGAAACAATGCTCAGGTAGGCCGTGGCATTTAAACGATGCCCAATTGGCACTAAGGGGCCTAAAGTGTGCCAAGAAAACATCCCCCACACCATTACACCACCACCACCAGCCTGCACAGTGGTAACAAGGCATGATGGATCCATGTCCTCATTCTGTTTACGCCAAATTCTGACTCTACCATCTGAATGTCTCAACAGAAATCGAGACTCATCAGACCAGGCAAGATTTTTCCAGTCTTCAACTGTCCAATTTTGGTGAGCTCTTGCAAATTGTAGCCTCTTTTTCCTATTTGTAGTGGAGATGTGTGGTACCCGGTGGGGTCTTCTGCTGTTGTTGCCCATCCGCCTCAAGGTTGTGCGTGTTGTGGCTTCACAAATCTTTGCTGCATACCTCGGTTGTAACGAGTGGTTATTTCAGTCAAAGTTGCTCTTCTATCAGCTTGAATCAGTCGGCCCATTCTCCTCTGACCTCTAGCATCAACAAGGCATTTTTGCCCACAGGACTGCCGCATACTGGATGTTTTTCCCTTTTCACACCATTCTTTGTAAACCCTAGAAATGGTTGTGCGTGAAAATCCCAGTAACTGAACAGATTGTGAAATACTCAGACCGGCCCGTCTGGCACCAACAACCATGCCACGCTCAAAATTGCTTAAATCACCTTTCTTTCCCATTCTGACATTCAGTTTGGAGTTCAGGAGATTGTCTTGACCAGGACCAGACCCCTAAATGCATTGAAGCAACTGCCATGTGATTGGTTGATTAGATAATTGCATTAATGAGAAATTGAACAGGTGTTCCTAATAATCCTTTAGGTGAGTGTATATTTATTTGAATGAATGAATTACAGCATTTATCTGAATTAATTATTGAGAGAGAGAGAGAGAGAGAGAGAGAGAGAGAGAGAGAGAGAGAGAGAGAGAGAGAGAGAGAGAGAAGCATGTGTGAATTACCTACGTCAGTGCGTCTGTCTTTATTAACAATGAAGCTGTATGTTTAATTACTTCAAAGACAGCAGTTACCCCCATTGCTGCTGAGAAATATAATGTAGCGATTCAATAGCGAAGCTTTCTAATGAAGTCGTAGGACAACATTGATACGTTTCTGTTGTTCTTTTGAACTTTCTATTCATCAAAGGCATCAAAAATGTATCACGGTTTCCACAGAAATGTTAAGTACCACAACCGGTTTCATTGTTGATTATACTAAATTTATCTTGAGCAGCAAATCATCATATTAGAATGATTTCCGAAGGATCATGTGACACAGAAGACTGGAGTAATTATGTTGAAAATTCAGCTTTGCATCTCAGGCATTTTAAAATATATTAAAATAGACAACAGTTATTTTAAATTGTAATAATATTTCACAGTATTACTGTTTTTACTATATTTCTAAATAAATAAATGCAGCCTTATTGAGCATAGGGACTTCTCTTAAAAACATAAAAAATATCCTACGACCCCAACCTTTTGAATGGTAGTGTATCCTTCTGAGGGATCCAAAAATTATGCCTGTCACAGACTGTGCGATTGAATCGTAGGCTACAACGCAAGTTAGTATAGAAGAATGCGCTAGTGGTAAACAAATAGAGCAAGGTGAATCGCACTTTGGCAATTGTGACTTTATGTGAGCTGAAGAAAAGAGGAGGAAGCAAAAGATGAGAATATGGACGAGGTCATATAGGGAAAAGAGGCCAACTTGGCATGCCGATCTTACAAATGAAGCTTGAAATAAGTAGTTTACGTTTTGATCAATACGCAATTTCATGATGCATTTTTATTGGCTAGTCAATAGACGTAGGTCGTAGCAGCAAACACCCTGTGAGATGATCATGCTAAACTTCTGACACGGACCAAAAATAGCCTGCGATAATTTTCCGACAGTGACAACGGCCAACTTTGAACCTCTCTCACTGTTATTACAAATACAAAATATAAAGACAATGTAAAGCTGCTTTGAAACAATCTGTATTGTGAAAAGCGGTATATAAATAAAGGTGACTTGACAATGGAGCAACATGACGAGCAGGTGATCTGAAAACTATCATTAGCCACGGTGACTGTCAATCTTTGTTATTATGATTATGATATGTTCAGGGTTTGGCATAACCAAAGGCACCTGATCACTGATGACGATATGAGAACAAGATGAGGTGAAGCCAGTCCATTCATCTGTCAAAGTGAATAGGATATGGAGCTGATCTCTGGCACACTGATATTGTATCCCTGACAATAGCTCGTGCTCGAGCTGCATCGCCACCTAATCCCACTGGACAGCTCCGTCTATTTATAAACAGTGAAGCACACTGCATGAAATGCAGAGATACACCTACTGACAGCGAGAGCGATCGAGATTCTTCATTATCACACCATTTTAGATCTTCATCAGATCAACTGCCTCCTGTTGCCTAGCAACACCTTCCTGCCTTCCAAGTCCATGTCCCTGGTTTCAAAGACACCAGCTCCACTTTCTTACATTTACACATCATTAGTGAATGTACCACTTGTTAGCAACAATCATAGACAGGTGCACTGCTATAATCTTTGCTTATAAGACTGAATGTGTTACTGAGAAACCTATAAGAAACACCATTTATCCAAACAAGGTTAAGTGACCAGGGGCTGCCATGTTAAGCTACAAAACAAAAGAGTGAATTCCATGTGACTACATCTACTTAAGCCATATAATAGGTTTGTGTGAGGAAATAACAGACTTAAGTTATTATCCACTGTAAAATCTGTATTTATGTTCAATTCGTGGTCATTTATGTTCAAATATGGTGCATCAAGACCCATTTCGCCAGGTTTGACGTTAATATTACTAGATATTAATGACCTTTTAATGACGTGCATTTTGCATATTTGTACCAGTATAAATCCAGTTGAGAACCAATTTGCTTTAAACAATTTGCATGGACAAGAGATGTTTTGTGATGCTGAAACTGTTCATGCAACACAAAAAGCCTGAGAGTGAAATGGAAAGACAGACCCAGATACTAAGAATAGTTAATTCTGTGAGAGCCCTATTCAGTGTTGACCTCAGGAGGTCAAAGGCTCCAGCCCTGCCCACGCAGCCAAGCAAAGTGTGACTTTCAGAGGCGTCATTAATAGGCCTGAGCAGTGAGGAGGGTGTATGTGAGCCTGAGGCCGACAGAAACAGAGGCTCGATAATTAGGAGCAGTATTGGAACCACATGAAGAGACCACAAGTGAAGTCTGAGACATCGACTAGAAACACAGGAAGAGGAAGTGGCTTTATTTCAACCTCAGACGCGCCACCACAAACATCCTTCCTACACGTCTAGGTGGGGCTCCACCAGCAGGACACAAATATACATATAACAGCACTGATTTCTTCACCAACACACTCACAGATGTGTAATTTCACTGACCAGGTGTTGTTTATCTATGGTTATGATTACAATAAAACCATGTCATCTAATGGTCCATCCATGAGAAATTTACTAACGATGGAAAATGAAGCCTTAGAAAATATTTCAGGACAGTGTTATTTTAGTATAATTGAGACACTATTATAGTATATATATATATTAGGGCTGTCAGTTAAATGCGTTATTAACGGCTTTAACGCAAACCCATTTTAAACCCGGCGAATTCTCCGCCCCCTGTGAGAAAAGTGATCCACTTTTCCATGTTGATAAGAGCATTAAAATGAGAAAAAAGAATGGGACAAAAAGAAATCAAAAGACATTTAGAATAGATAAAAATGTGCGATTAATCGCGAGTTAACTATGACATTAATGCGATTAATCACGATTAAATATTTTAATCGTTTGACAGCACTAATGTATATATATACACAGTGCTGGTCAGAATTATTTGCCCCCTTGTTAAATATGATCAAATATGGCTGTAAAAAATAGATCTGCATTGTTTATCCTTTCGATATTTCATTAATTTTTTTGCAAAAATCTAACCTTTTATTGAAGTAAAATAATTCAAAGTGGGGGAAAAAAAATGTCTCCAAAACCCCTTTTATTAAATACTTTTTGCAACCTCTTTTTTCCAAGATAACAGCTCTGAGTCTTCTCCTATAATGCCTGATGAGTTCGGAGAACACCTGACAAGAGATCAGAGACCATTCCTCCATACAGAATCTCTCCAGATCCTTCAGATTCCCAGATCCATGTTGGCGCTGCTTCTCTTCAGTTCAGCCCACAGGGATAAAAGAGT